CAGCGGAGGTTCGGAGCATTGGAAGTCCGGGCGAAGCTCGGATCTTGGACGGTATGGAAGGAGCGCAACGTGTTGTTTACTGGAGGCGCAATGTTGAGATGGAATCGCTGCCACGTGTCTTTGTCGCTTTTCTACCTCGGTGACTCTGCGTAAGTTTGTGAAAGAGCTGCTAGGTGTCTGCTGCTGGTGTAGTCGACGTAAGAGATGTCAGTCGATTGCGAGGGCTGGCGCGACGTCAAGATCGAATCGTGATCGAGAGCCGTCCGTCACGTTACATTGGACAGTACCTAGGTACTGCGCCCCTACGTTATTACAGTTCTGGCAATGCGCTCCCGTTGTCACAGCGTCTCAGTGATGTTTCGACCGGCTAAAGGGCTATGATGCACAGTGAATTAGGAAACCTGCAGCAGACTACCAGTGCGATGACTGAGTGAATGCACCCGTCTGAGGTGAGACCGTGCCGACCCTCAAGCGTCGACGCGGCAGACAATAACCTGCTCATGAGCATGTGGGATGAAGTCCGTGGGGTGTTCACTTGCGATTTGCAGGATGTGCATGAGAATTGCTTCTGCGCGAGTGCCGACATGCCGGGCATATAGGCGTGGTGCGCAAACCCACAGAGGGAAGCTAGCGCAGCTGGCGATCAATCGTTATCACAAGACAAGGTGTGCAGGGCGTGGAGAAAGTTGAAGCCACTCCATAAGACGGCAGGCCGCAGCTGACGATGAGATGAGAGAGCCATTCGTCGTGTTCGGGAGATAGCAGGTCTTTGTGCGATGCGCTGGCAGGCGTCGGTTCGTGCCTGAAATGCGCCTCGGGTGCGTCAGCGTTCCCGTCCAGGGCTGGCCGGATGCAAGCAGGCAGCTTTGAGCGTGGCAGTCTTTACAACGTTAAACCTCGTCCATCGTCGACTGCAGCGCGTTCAAATGCCCACGCTGTCTGCGCGCCACAGCCCCCCTGTACCGACAGCGACAGCTCACTCCCCGCGCCAGGCCCTGTCCAACGGCCGCACGCCGCGTACTCATTACAGCAGCCTCATCTACTTACCGCCCATTCGCACCCGGACCTGCCTGCTGTCCAGGCCCCAACCAGCGAAGACGCGCCGGAGCCCGCGCAGGATGCCACGAGTGCTGCGGCCCATTGAAGCAAAAGCACGTCCATGATGATGCCTCCGACTGCATCCACTGCCGACGACCTCGACGGCTTCCAGTCCTTGACCGGCGTGGCAGAGAGTGCAGAGCCCACTACGTCAACGCCTGCCCGCGACGACCCCACGAGCAGCACCACCGCCCCCGACATGTCGGCTCCCATGCGTCAACACCCGCTGGCTGCCCAGCGCCCGCCCTTCAGCGTCAACGGCTCGCCCTCGCCGCGCTCGTCGCGAGAAGCCTCGCCCGCAGGCCCTCACCACCGCAGTGCGACGCCCTCCGGCGCCAGTGCGAGGCCGGGCTTCCCCTCACGCAAGAGCAGCGCCGATGCGAGTCCCAGCCGCGGCTCCAGTCTGTCCAACTCTGCTGTCGCCCCGGGGGTGCAGCGTGCTCTCTCCTCCACCAGCATACCGGAGCTCACCCCAACATCGTCGACCGACACGGTGCGAGCCACACGCGCTTCCAAGCCATCGTCAAAACCGAACTCGGGCGACACGACTCCCCATTGGCCCCTCTCACCGCGCCTCAAGTCACCACCGCCGGGCGATGACGGCCGCTCACGTTCGCGCACCAACTCGCTGCGTTCACAGATCAAGAAGCCCGAGGCCCAGTCGACGCCCGCTATCGTCGTCCAGAGCTCGTCCCCAGCCTCAGTCTCTCGCTTCCCAGTAAGAGAGGACGTGCCCGTGAGCGACGTCGACGAGCCACCAGCCCAGCCACAGCCACAGCCTCAGCAAACCATCAAGGCGCCCTCGCGCAGTTCCGGCGGCGCAGCTCCCAAGCTGGCAACGGTGCAAGAATCTAGCTTGCCTGCCACACCCGGATTTGATGGTCTAGAGCCGCAAAGGTACGCTTTCCCCGCAACGGCCCCACTGTTTGTCATCGCGACGCACGTTAGACTATCAACGGAGCCAATTTCCGCTGCCATCCGCAAACTTTGTTAACCTCGCTCTTAGCTTTGTTCCCCCAGCGACTTCCCACAGAACTGACCAGGACCGAAATGACGTCAATTCGTCCAAAGTCACCGAAGATCTCAGCACCAAGCACGACACGTCCAAGCACACTGAGAGCGGGAGCGACAGCGCGACCAAGAGCGCCAAGAAGGGCAAGATGCAGGAACAGCGCTCTGCCTACACCCATCGTCCACACACCGTCTCGGCCAAGCCCTCCCTCTCCTCCATGTCGACGCGATCGCGAGACCCGCCCCTCCGTAACATGACGGTCGAAACCGAGACCGTGCCCTCTGTCGCGCAGCCATCAATTGTAAACCAGGACAGATCTGCCTCGGGTCGCGTCGACGGCGGCATACGGCTCAAGCCCAGCAACGAGACAATTCGTCCAAAGAACCAGAAGAAGGCCCCCAAACGGAAGGCCGCATCCATCAATGCAGGCACTGGTAGGTTGCAACACATTTCATACCACTACTACATTCCAAGCCGGCCGGAGTACGGCTCTCGCTCCGGCGTGAGTCCGTCATTCGGCAGCCCCGTCTCATACCGCTCATATGACGACCGGCCGTCCTTGTTGACCTTTTCACCCCCAAGTCCAGCGTTGAGCATGGCTCCTCCCCGCCCTCCCCATCTCAGCTATTTTTATTCAAGCACTAACTCAGGTTATCGTACAGCGTCATCCAAAGCAGATGTATTCGAACAAAAGGTGGCCAGCGCCGTCGACGAGGCCGACTCGTCTGACTCGGACGCTACCTTTATCTACGAATCGAATCCTCCCGAGCAGCCAACTCGCAGCCGCCAGCACCACTCGCGAACGCCAAGCATGACGTCGTTAGCCAGCCTCACAGACCCACGACTCCAGATCCGCGATACGCACAAGCATCCAAGCAAGAAGAGCAGCATCAAATTCACGAACCCATACACCAACGCGAGCATTGATGGCGATGACCGCGGCGAAGGGACTGTCCGCATCGGCTCCGGACGAGCGGGCGGAGGTAGCCACCATCACCACATTGGAAGACATGGCCAGGGTCGGGGCGCGCTCAGCCACATCACCATGGACAGCGACAACTCGGTACCGCAATCTTCGCGCGCACGTGGCCCGTCCTCAAGACACACGTCGCAACCGAACAGCCCTCGCTTCCATACTTTCAATGTTGGCAATGGTCACAGCAACGGCAGCAAGAAAAGTGGGGAATTCTCTGCAGCATACGACATCGACGCCGAAAACATCGCCGATGATGAGCGCACACCTCTTATCCAGTCTGGGCGGAGCCCACGGGCCCGCACGCCTCGCCAGCGCAACACTGCCACTATACGCCAGCTAGAGCGCCGGCATCACCGTGATGGTGGGTGGTGTCGGCGGTTCGCTGGCTGCCTGGTTCTGTCGATCCTGCTGCTCGTCGTCGTATTCTGCGCTGTTGGGCTCGTCTTTGCAACTACGAAGCCGCTCACTAGCCTTGTAGTGCGAGACATTCAGAACGTCGTTGCAAGTCAAGAGGAGATTATGCTGGATCTCATAGTCAACGCAGTCAATCCCAACATTATCGGCGTCACTGTATCCGACATGGACATTTCGCTGTTTGCTAAGAGCAAGCATGTCGGGTCGGACAGTTGGTGGCGCGAGCACGGGAATGGCCCACATGACAATGTAGAAGATTGGAGACCGATCGAGGAAGACGCAGTTCCAGATATCTCGATTACCGGTGTAGACGAAGGAACCGATCCTATCGAGGGCGAACCACGGACCATGTTGCTAGGCCGCATCGCCCACTTCGATTCGCCATTAAACTTTGAAGGTTCCTTTTTTCAGCGACACCGCGCCGAATCTATTGGCGAGCTCCGACTTTCGCACCCTGGAAACAAGACCGAAGCTGGTGGCAGCGAACGTTGGGAAGAGGTCCTGCAGTATCCTTTCGAATTAATCGTGCGAGGCAACTTCAAGTACACACTGCCCCTCAGCACGCAGGAGTTCAAAGTCCCTGTCACGGCAACCCATTACTACGACCCGGATATCGAGCGCAAGAAGAAGCTCGACTTTGCAGAGAAAAAAGAAAAGAGGAGGAATCCATTACCTGTATCAACAAAGCCTTGGGGACGTTACGACCGCAGAGCCCTACCGTTCTGGGGTCTCCTATAGCATGTCCTATCCTGTATCACAACATTGCCCGAACCAGAGGGGCCAGCACAACCGTGTGGCCCCAGCAATATCGCCCAAAAGAAACTGATACCCACTAAAAACGAGTTCACGACACAATAGACTTGTCCCATCCCGGCAATTGCGAAATCAGCACACGCGTTGCCTTTTTTTCTTTCGGCTCCACCGCCGTTCACGAATTTCTTTTTCAATCTGCAAACCACCACACACCGCCTCCTCCGAACCGGCTGTTCGCATGCTCTCACAGCGAGTGATTTTGAGCGCCCTTCCTTGACCTTGCGCTTCAGCGATGGTGTTTGTATCATGCCGTTTTCTTCTTCTGCATTGCCCAGCTTTTGGAGGACCCAGCCTCCGTCCTCAGCGACTTTCAGCGCTTTTCTGGTTTTAGCTTGGAGGTGGATTGCGCCTTGCGAGTCCAGAAACATTCCTTTGATCTCTCTTCTATGTATCCATAATTTAGCCCTTTACTTTTGGTTCCGGTTGGACCTTTGTTCGTTCCCATAGCGGCTAGGGTGGTGCATCAGGTTAGGTATGGCATGGCATGGTATGGTATGGTAGGGACTGGAAAGACATTTGCATTGCGCTGGGAGTATGGACATACAGGAATTTATTGAGTTACTCATACTGATATCCTTTATCTTGGCTCCTGTGATGTACTAAATCTCGATACCCAGGTCATGAAAATCGTTAGGTCCTTGCAGGGCTGGCGACCAGACATACTCCAGAAGAGCGCCATGGACACGTCTAGCGGTCAGCCTCGCCACCTTTGCTCTTCTTCGCTGGTTGCTCCGCAGTTCCCTTCGCCCCTCCCGTGGTAGCCGCGACCTTACGCTTCTTGGGCGGTGCCTTGGCAGTAGCCTCAGCGTCCGTGGCAGCCTTGGTGGACTTGTGTGCAGTCTCAGGAGCAGCCTTGACCTCCAGAGCAGACTTCTTCTTCTTCTTTTGAGCGTAATCTTCCTTGGCCTTCGTCTCGCTTGCCTTGTCCTTATTCTTCAACTTCTTGAGGAATCCATCGAAGTTCCGGTCGTTCTTGCCCACCTTCTCTAAGCCCATGTTGTGCCCGGCGCGGCTGGTATATGGTTTCAGATCCCATGCTTGGATCTTTCCGGTGCTCACATCCTTTTGATACAGGCCCTCGATCATGTACGCATGTTGGTCGTCGTGGAGGAAGTTACACGCTTTGCGAGGACAAGGGAGATTATCAGCGGGGCTAAGGTTGTGCCTCTCTTCCTTCGAGCATCTTGCTGTCCATCTGGGTATCTGCTTGGGACGAGGAATGGACTCAGGAGTAGGGGTTTCCGAGGAGGCTTCCTGTTCTGCGGGGTTGGACTGGCGGCCGGTGTTCTCGTGAGGTCTGTACTGACGTTAATGGCTACCTGGTACCATCAGGCGACTGACAGAATAACATACCGGACTCGTGGCGGCTGCATGATACGATGGGTGTCTTGAAGAGGTGGCTCCTGTGGATGTGTACCCTCTTGGGATGTCTCAGATTTCTCGACAGCCCCAAACGCAGCCATCATCGCAGCCTCGAACTCATCCTCGGGTGCGTCTGTTGTAGACATTAGAGTTTGTATCTTCTTTGATCTGGTCAACGTACCATGTGTGTTCTTGGAGATCTGCTCGTAAGCCTTTAGCAGGGCTGGGCTCTTGTATAGCTCGCGGTCGGGTTCATCGACTTTGCTGCGAGCTTGTAGTAGTACGTCTGGCTCCAAGCCCCCCAGCAGTTCCTTGGCGGCAGCGAGCTTGCTCATAAGAGTGTTCACCTTGTCCAGAGTCGTGACTCCCGGCATGTCCTTGAGGGCGACATCGAGACGAGACATCCCGGTTGCCGTGGTATCCCCCAGGTTGGAGGTTTCATCGCCTTGACCATCATTCACCACAGGTCCTAGGTCATATCCCGATGAGGACATTGCGTTCACTTCTATCTGTATGTCAGGTTCATCGCTTCACTTCGTGGTTACATAATGACTTACGAGGAAGAGTTGGGAATTGGGAATTGGGTATGATTAGAGAGGAGCAATGGTAGAGCGATCGTGTGGTATCAAATGGAGGAGGCGCTAAAGAATAGTTGTGGGACGAGGACAGTGCTCTTTGCGGTGCTGTAACGGGAGCCTATTGCGTTTGCAGTGACGTAGTGGTATCGAAATGAAGGTCTGGAGTCGGCCCAAACCCATGTGACTGCCTATAGTCTGTCGACGTTCAGATTCACGATGGGGCGCTTATACACGTCTTAGTCTCGTACTGGAAAGCCGGATGGCTCCGATGCGTTCGAACCTCCCCCCATTCCAGTTCCTCTTGCATCCTGCCTGACACGCCATATTTCCTTGAACGTGAGCCTGTAGCCTAAACCATGCAGGGAAGACTTGGGCTGTGTGACCACGCAAATTCACCATTCACTATCTTTTGCGACCGTAATCAGAGCTTCGGCTGGTCCAAGCGCCAGTCTAGCGCCCCTCCACGTCCTTTCGAATAACACCTTCCACTTTGTTTACTTTTCTTCCTCTTCAGTCGCACTCACATCCGCAAGATGCGTGCGACTCGCAACCTTCGGCGTTCTAGCCTGCGCCGGCCGCTGCCGCTGATCGACTGTAACTCTCAACCTTCGATCTTCTTTATGAAGGTAAGTTCTGGAGATGTCGCGTCAACCCTGTGATATCCAGCTGACTTGATACTTACAGATCGCCGGGTTCTGGCGCACTCGCATGCGCACAACTTTCACGGAACCGAGAGTACAAGTCGACAGACGAACGCGGCTGAGTGAACCCGACAGGTTTGCTGGACCCCAACAACGGCTGTAGTCTTATAGGCTGTGGTTTATGCTACAGTTGGCTGGCCCTTAGCCTTTATGGATTCGGGTTCGGCAGGGTCTATGCTAAGTCAAAGAGAGTGATGGCCTCTTTGACCGCATAGATTGGGGCTATAGTAGGTTCGCAAGTTCACTACCGCTGGCTCCGACGGCTTACCACCACTGAGGTGAGACGCTCTGGCAGATAGTGGGTCTGTCGTCAGGTTCAGTTATGGACAGTCACTGCTCGTATGTCAGGTACAATCGTTGGATAGACAGATAGGATCAGCAACCGCGGCTGCCTTCTTCGTGGTCCTGTTTCAGGTCACAACAATGGTGGTTCGATTCCATCCCACGTGTACCCGCCGCCGGTGTTACCCTTTTCAGGGAAACGTGTGCGGAAGATATCTGCGATAAGAAGACTTCCGGAAGTCTTCTGATAGGTCAAATGACCCACGATACATGACATGCAGGTAGCTGGCTCCCATATCGACGACAAAGAGACAAGAGATCAGCGGCGGTCGTAAAAAGCCTAAGCTTTTCTTCTATTTCTCGAACCACGGCACTTGGAGAGGGGCCCATGTGCCACTTTTTGGACTCTCCAAGACCGCCAACCATCGGTGGTCGTACGCCTCCGCCGGTGGAAAATCCTATGTCACCATAGGTAAACTTGGTGGATGTTTGTGCTATCGTTGTGCAGGCCAACGTAGTGACAGCAACACCGCCATTGTCCTGAGGTCGGTCTTTTGCACGATGTTAGTCCAGTGCAGACCCAATACCCGAAGAGGTCGGTTCTCTGCCAAGGTCTCGACTCGCGTAGAGATACATACCCAGACTCAGGACTATTACTCGTGGGGCCCGGAGGATGAACATCAGGTACGTACCCCATCCCACCTTAGCACCCCTTTGGTATCGTCTTCACCGAGCGTAGAAAAGTCCCGACCGCGAAGCATCTTCACGGATGTCTCGAGGGCCGGACGAGATCTCAACATCTCACCTTGGGCAAGTGTCGAGAGTGCTCGCACTTCCAAGATCAAGTGGCAAGCCATGCGACGCAAGTCGTATTCATTGGGCATGTCCATCCTGCGATTCAACTCGCCGTATCTTTTTCATTGAGTCATTCGCCTTTACGGCGGGTCTCGAGGAAGGAGAAGGGAAAGACGATCAGAGTAAGTAAGAAGGATATGCGACTTAACTCAGAATGCAGCTTGGTCTCGTCTCGCGCTGAATGCGGAAGCTGCATCTTAACGTGCGGGCGGATTGGAATGGCTTGAAGGCAATATGCGGAGTGGCTCATTTTTCAGCGCTGGATGTATACATTAGTACCATCATTCCTCGATACTGAACCCAGCATTCGATAGCGGCTTCCAGGACTGCGTTGCTGCCGATTACTCAAGACGAACACTCGCAAACCACCGACTCTTGCTTACCCTCCCCTTGATACGCAGACTCAGATTCGCTCGCGATAAGGCTCAAGGCTCGAACGCGAAGCCCAGAAGTGCGTTGCTGCTGGCACAGGGCAGCGGGTAGGCGAGACGGGGTTGCGATACCTCCTGAGTGAGCTGGGCAAAATGACGTTTACATTCAGGGTGGCGCTAACCTGATCAAGTCACCTACCCGGCAACCACGTTGAGCTTGTAATGCTGAGAACATATTGTGCACATCGAATGACATTACTATTCTTTCTACATCTCATCTAGAACCAAGCTATCCCAAAGCCACCCTCTCCATTGCGTCGTCCTAGTAACCTTGATGTCCAGACGGTTACTTCCCTCCCCCTTCAACGCGCCTTCTGCGATCGGAATCTCAAGCAACCTCCACTCGCCCGCCCGTGTCGCACCACGATACGTATCCTGACTATTCAAAAGACTGGCGCTGGTGATATTTCCCACCTTGACGTCGTTGAGCAGGATATCGCAGCTCGAGCCCTGAGAGAAGCCCGCCAGCGAGACCGTCAACTTAGCGGCGGAGGTGCTCTTGGAAGGGAAGAGAACAGACCAGGTGCCAAGAGCAGATTGGCCGAAACACCAGTCAAGAGGGGAGCTGGTACCGACAGTGTAGGTCAGGTTTGCGGGGCACTTGGAGATGCGGGCGTGTTCGAATGGGTGGGCTGGGTCGGCGAGCTTGAAGCCATCGCTTGTGCGGTCGAAGTCGCCGATTTGGAAGATGCGCTTCGCGCTGTCGGTGACCTTCCATGTCATCTCCTTGAGATTCGTGTTCTTGCCTTCGCGGATCACGATATCGTTTTGGGTAAAGTTCGTTGTGACATAGCCGATCGAGCCGCCGTTGCCCCAAGCATAGAGCGCGTAGGTGCCGGTACGGATGTCGTGGATGTCGAATTTGCCATCTTCATCGGCGTATGTGGTGTAGTAGTAGTTCTGGCCTTGGTCGAGCGTGGATACTGTGGTGTTGCGGTTGTCTCCAAGGAAGACGGCAGCGCCAGCAGCTGGGCGTCCGTCGCTCAAGAGGAGCTTGCCTTGCATTTTGCCGCGAGACTGGTAGGGCTTGTTGTCAAACCACTTGTACGGCCAGGCTGCTTCCTCCTTCTCCCAGCGGGCTGCGGCGTCGTCTTTGCTGCCATCGTTGAGGTACCAGAGCCATGGACCCCAGATCTTGCCATCAGCAAACGAATCGCGCGCAATGGCCTGGTAATGTGTGCCGTGAATCATGTTCAGTTGGACTGCATCGCCAGTCTGGGACTCGCGATGGACCTTTGAGAGGTTAGCATCGAACCGCATACCAGCGAGGCGGCCGAATCGAACATACCGTGAGCTCCTGCTTGAGATGATCGCCGTTGTAGTAGTCCTTCCCAGGGTTGAGGTACCAACTCCCCACTTCGTCTCCATAAACACCGTAGTATTCTTGGTCTCGAACAAATCCACTCCAGTCATACTTTGTCAAGAATGACCCGTCAGCCTTCTGCCAGGTTTCATCCTGGACGTTGGTAGCTTGACGGTATTCTTCCAATGCGGGAAGCACGCCATCTTTGACGTTGTTGTGGCCACGTGGAAACGAGGTGTTGTCGAGACGCCATAATGTACGGAACTCGCCCAGCGTAGGCAAGTCGTGATTGACAAAGTACTGGTATGCGCCTGGAAGGTCATCGTAGATCACCCAATGGAAGTCACCCTCCTTCGCCGTAAACTTGACGTTGATGTAATCGGTATCCGAGTCCACGATTGCGGCGGATGTCCAGTTCAGATCAGACGCTGCACCGTCTACAAGTTGTTAGCTGTGTTATGACTCCATTGCTGCAGCACCTTTTCACACATACTGTAACTAACATAGTGCCCAACAGCATCTCCAACGCGGTCCTTGCCCTTGTACCACAGCTTATCGGCATACTGGCGATTTTGCGTAACATTCCAGATTTCATTGCCGATAATCCAAGTCGAGTTTCCAAGCTCTTTCAAAAAGCTCTTGGGCTTCTTTGCGCGCTCCTCTACTGGAGCAGCCGCAGCGAGCGCAGCAAGGCCGAGGAACTTGAGGGCACTCATGATGATCACGTCGATGCGAAAATGTGCTCGGCGAGGATAAACTTGAAGCCATAGTAGCTCTGGTCATTATATACCGCTGCAAGCATGCACGTCGCTCGAAGAAAGCTAACGTGCCTCTCGGCGGAGATGCCCCGAAGTTATTACCGGGTAAGCACTGGGGTCGCGGGGTACCTGGAGCAACCCCGGACAATTTGATCGACAAGAACATTGTTCCGGAACTTCCTGCAATCGCGCTTCTTCGTTGCCCAGTAGCGCGTTCTTGGGGCGGTGTTTGCCCGCGCGTGTATCCTGGATTTGGGAAGGCGTTCGTGGTGACACGGGTGAGGCTCCCTGCAAAACGTGGTCAACCGCCACAGCGTTGGGCGAAGAAGCACCGAACGCGTCTTGAGAGCGTTAGACAGAGTTGTAATCAATATCACGAGGTACCAGCAACCGGGTCGATGCTCGCGGTGATGTGCAAGAGTTCAGGAGGTGGCCGAGGAAAGCACCGAGCGGGACGCTTGCCTGTTGCGGCCTGGAACAGCAGCTAATAATCAGCATTACACGGGAAATCTGTGCTCTCCAGAGAATCTTCCATTCTTGCGCGAGGTATAGGACAGTCTAATGAAGGCTCCGCCGTATGTGTGTGTGTGTCTGCCAACTTCATCTACGATTTCTCTTCCAACGCCTTCGCATCAGCCTCCTTAGGTGTTTGCGTTCCTGACGCAGCTGTCTTCTCACCTTCCACCACCTCAACATGATCCCCGCGACGACGGCCCTTGCCAGTGATGTCGCGCCACATACCACCGAAGTTCCTGGCTAAACTCTCACGGCCTTCCCATAGAGGATATACACCAACAGCCATAGTACTGCACATCAGCCAGATGATGCCAACGATGACCCATCCTGAGAAGAACGACTGACTGAAGATGTAGCCGGAACCATATAGAGGCATTGGCCAAAGTACGAGAAGAACGAGTGTCAGCGTAGCGGTGGTGATCTTTGCAATCTTGGAGGCGCGGAACAGCTTGGCTTGTTCGGCGGCTTCGGCTTCTGGGGAGAGGGCAGCATGGCGGCCGTGCACGGCTTCGATATCCATGTGCGCAGCTGCTGTAACATCCGAATCGTCGACAAGGCGAATGTTCTTCATTGACACCCAGTCGTAGTTGTCAACTCCGAAGATCAGGGTCAGGACCGGGATGAAGATGACGGGCGAAAGCAGTGCGACAACATTACCAGCCAACATTGGGTTGTTGGCGCCAGAAGTAGCGACAGTGATCACACCGTCGTTCAGCTTGGAGGTGGTGACGAGCCAGGCGGTGATGCTGCAGCAAAGGCCCAACACTGGCGACAAAGTGGCCGCCCATTTGTTCTGACCCTTCCACATCAACGTGAGGGTTGCTGGAAGCACCGCAGACGAAATGATTACGCCCATGAAGACGTACAGCCAGCCCATGCTGATACCTGCGTACCAAAGTCCCGTTGAGAACGCAGCCATGACAAGTCCAAATCCACATACACAGACGTGTGAAGTATAGACGAGACGTCGGCCACTCGCGCTGGGGTTGATGTAGGTTGCGTAGATGTCGTATGTCAAGATGCTGGAGACGGCAATGAGCTGGGCCGAGAAAGCTGAAGTTACAGCCATGAACACAACCAGGAGGGTAGCCACTGCACCTCCAGATCCGAGGAGAGCTACAGCAGCATACGGAAGGGTGAGACCTGCGCTGATCGATGCTTCATCCATGCCGTTGGGGTAGGTAGGGAAGTATTCCGTGCTCTGCAGTGCAAGCGCAGCAAGGCCCATAGTGGTCGCGCAAAGCCACTAGTATCGACGTCAGAACGGATTTGAGATGAGCATGAATGGAGAACGTACTGGGATAGCGAACCAGGAAAGACCACCAATGATGTATCCTGGAAGAGCATGGACTGGCGATGCAGCAATAGCCTTGTTGTAGTCTGACTATTGTCAATTTCTGATACCATTCCATGTAGAGGAACACTCACATCCATTGTCCATGAAGACAGTTCCGAAGTTTCCAATGATGTTGATAACGAAGAAGATCGCGCCATCTTTGCTCCTCATCGTAAGATAGCTTCCACCAGCGTTACCGGGAACGGGGGTGGTTGCCGAAAGCTCCTGCAGACGATCGTACACTGCTTTGGGCGAGCCCAGCCTGTCACCAGTGGCATAAGTCGTGAATGCGAAAGTAAGAAGGATGATGAGGAGGATAACGGTGTGGACGTAATCCGTGAGGAACGTAGCCTTGATACCACCAAACATGGTGTAGACTACGACACCCAGGGGAAGTAGGAAACAGGCTGCGGCTGTAGGGACACCGGTTAGAGAGCTGATGACGGCAGATCCGCCAGTCAACAACATGGCTGTCACGAGTATGTTGGTGAAGAGGCCGAACGTGATATACACGAAATGCGTGGCCTTTCCGTATCGAGCACGCACAGCTTCAAGGAACGTCTACGGGGTGGTCAGATCTGGATCTACGATGGCTAGGATATGCTGCACTCACATGAGCGTTAGGAGCTCGCCTCTTGAGTTCGATCGCAACGGTAGCAAAGAGTAGGATCTGTACGGTAGCACCAGCGGCATACCAGAGAGGTCCAGAAACACCTGATGACGTTAAGATTTGTTAATTTCATGTAATGCAGTGTCGAAACGTACCGTAGCGGAACGCGACCGAAGAACTCTGCAACAGGGTAGCTGCCCAAGTCCATGAAGACACTACTGCTGAAGCTACCAGACCAGACTTGACCGTACGGCCGGCAGTCGAGAACATCTCCGAAGTCTGCACTTCATTGTTGTAGCGCTTGAGGACCCAAGTGGTGAAGACCTTGAGGTTGTTAGACTGTGTCGCTTGTAACCATTAGCTAGAGGTACACATACCATGCCAAGGGCGAAGAGAAAGCCAACACCGAGCACGATCCCATAGCCCCAACCCTGGCCAAGGGGAGAAGCAGAAGGGCCAACAGGAGTACCGCCGCCAGCCATGTCGAGAGATGTAGCTTGTTTCAACGTCAAGCTTCAAAGCGTTGGCTGTCGAACCATTCCAGCGGGGCAGACGACGTATCTATACTCCAATGCATCCCCACGATTCCCGTTTCCCGGCTTCAGCTCGGTCCCAAGACTGCTATCTCGAGCCTTTCAACCGCACACAACCATCTCGTCGATTGGCAATCGGGCCGGCACATGATTGGTTACAGATAGGCGCATGTCAAGACTAGGTAACGTGCAACGACGGCCAAGACTGAAAACCTCGTCTTCTACGCAATTTTGAAGCTTATATTAGCAATGAGGTCTTGTTGTAGGGCACTTTCAGCTCTTAGCCGACTGGGCGTTGCATGATCGCTCGCCTATGCTGATAACGAACGGCCTTGCAACGGAGGTGCATCGCGCTTGCCTCGTAGTGGCGGGCAGGACCGAATGGCTCAGCGGAGATTTTCTTGCTCAGCTGTGAGTGGCTGAGATCTGTGACTTTTTGCTTGGGCAGCCAGAGCTGTGTCTGGGCGTGGAGATGGTGGGCATGTTGGAGGCAGGTTGGGGTTGGTGGTTTCGATGAGGTAAACAGGAGAGTGAAGATAAGCGATGGTGTGGTAGCCAATGAGCACGCGCTGGCGGTGGAGTCCGAAGTCGGCTTGCATGAGAGAACCTCTCTGGTCCGGCTTTCTCCACGGTAATGATCGACCTGCATCTTCGCAATGTTGTCGTTACTCGATAGCTTCGACACATACGTGCTTGTTCGTCTTGAAATGGCACTCCAGCTGAACCGTGGCCGTTCGCACATGTCTGTGAGACCAAAGCTTTGGATCCGGCATCCACGGGCCTCCACCCGCCATCCTTTGCCGCCGTAGCCTTCCATGTCGCTACGCGCTCAACACCTACAATTTCGTGAGGACAGCATGGATTTACTCTGGCTCTCGCTAGGAGAATGCATAGTACCGGTGTGCGAATAATAGAGCAGAGCTAACATCTAGGTATACAATGTACCCTCGCATTCGAAGTATCGAGGCTACAAGAGTCGTTCGATTCGATTACTCAAAACAGCGGAGCAAAATGATACGAAGGACATTTTACAGAGCCGTTACGCCTTGCGACTACAACGGACTTTTCTGGACTTTACGAAAAGGCTTGTTGTTGCATGCACGAGGCATTTATATTGGCGTCGCGCCATGGACAAGCAATATGTTATTGGTACCTCATTGGGCTTGCCCACGATTGCACAAAGTAGTATCTCGCACTTGTTGTGCGTGGTGAGGAGCGAGTGACCCGACTCACGGCTCGGTTGGCGTGTCTATTCGCCAACGTTCGATGACCACGAGCAACTACCCCGGCCTCTTTCCTAATTAGGAAGACAGTCAGCGGGAGCTTCGGATGTCAAGTGCATATATTCTGAAGACTTGAGCTCTTTTCTTAGTTTACAGACTACCACTAGCATCATGTTTTCCATCTTGATACTCTCCACGCTTGCACTCGGTGCCATTGCGCACACCACCCCAGACGGATGTCCGCGCAAAGTGGGCGCGGAAGGCGTACAGGTTCGCATACCTCCAACGTTCAATACCACGGATCATGCCCATCACGGCAGATCATGGCGACCACCACCTGTCGGGTTCTACTTCCAACCATGGTCGATGATTCTTGCGTCAAACCCTCAGTACGCTGCGATGCGGAACGTGCAATACGACCCAACTCCGATCGACCCCTCTGAGCCCAATGGACTGGTGAACGACCTCTTCTCATTCCAATTTCCAGGCAACGACACAATCATCACAACATATGGCATCGATACACCGCATCCCTACTTGCCAGCAGTGCTAGATTTTGCAGCAACCGGAATCCTGACCGGGGCTACCTGCCAATACAGCATCTTGGTTTGGGGCTGCGACGCGAACAGAGTTCCATACTACGCGAGCTATTCGACGGCAGTGGAGTTCACCCAAACGCCCCCAGGTATCGACCTGATGAGCACGAGTGACCAAGGACCTGATCAGGGAACGATCGATGCCGTGCTGACGGCATTGAAAAAGCTGGACAACGAAGAGATCACGAAGTATGTTGCAGCGTTGGAGAAGATGGTGCAGGATGGGGGCAGAAGAGGCATGCCTAGGGTACGTATTCGTGTTGGCTTGCTTGTTGGCACCTGTTGACGTAGAACTGCAGGCTACATGCGACGACTATTGCAAGACGAATCAGGGCCTGATCGGGATCGGAGGCTGAACGCTGTGGAACTGAGCTGACGAGGTCATGCTTGATCGTTCTTGTCGAAATGAATAGCGGCTGATGTTTCGTGTCGCGGCTTCTAAAAGGCGCATGTCTATGTTCAAATGATCAACGATAACATACATGTGACGCCGAGTAACAATGGCATAGAATGTATTCGCTTTAGACCTCGCGGTATACAGCTCTGTGATGCCAACATCTGTATTTGCAGCTCAGTCCCAGTTGCGTGTGTGATGGAAGTCGTGACCGGCGCAGTGCGTTCAGCATTCGCTCCTCCGCTGTGGGTCACGCCAAGGCCGCCCGGCAGTAGCGCCAAAAAAGTTCAGAACTGGTAGATGCAGGCAGCGCAAACCTCGACGAACACCGACGCGACCACATTCCGTAGATACGATCCAAATTCCGACACGATGGCGAAGCGCAAACTCAACGAGCACGACGTGCCAGAGGTGACATCGAGCGACGAGTCGCAGTCCGAGCCCCGCAGCTCGCCCGAACCCACACCATCCACTACAATCGCGACTGCGACTGCAACCGCTCCCACACCGAAGAAGAAGAAAGGCTCTAAGGCCAAACCTTCTGCCGAACCAGTACCTATAGTCGCCTCATTTGCCGAACTACAACTCGAGCCCCGTCTTCTGAGAGCGATCCGCGACCTAAAATGGGCATCGCCAACGGCAGTACAATCTCAAGGCATACCATTAATACTAGAGGGACGCGACGTCCTTGCGCGTTCGGGGACAGGTACTGGAAAGACGGGAGCCTACCTTCTCCCCATCCTTCACAAGACGCTGCAGCAGAAAGGCCAATCGCTCATCCTGGCGCCCACTAAAGAACTCTGCTCACAAATCGCGACGGTCGCGAAATCGCTCTCACAACACTGTGGGCAATCGATTCGGGTCCGCAACATCGCTGGCAAGGAATCAGATGTCGTCATCAAGGCAGCACTCGCGGACAAACCAGAGATCGTCGTCGCGACACCAGCGAGGGCATGGGCAAACATCAACAGCTCGGCCATGTCAGTCAGCGACATCAAGACGCTTGTCGTAGACGAGGGTGACTTGATCAACGGTTACGGATTCGCAGACGACATGGAGAACATCGCCCGGGAGATCCCTGTTGGTGTCCAGAAGATCGTCCTTTCAGCGACTCTCTCGACGGATGTTGAAGCACTTGGAAGCCTGCTCTGCACAGATCCCGTTGTACTGAAGCTCCAGGATCTGGATAAGGACTCGCAGAAGGTCAAGCAATACGTGCTGAAGGTGGCAGAGGACGACAAGTTCCTCCTGCTTTTCGCCATGATGAAACTCAATCTTGTCCATGGAAAGAGGTAAGAGGCACCGGCATGAACTATGTTGGGGAAACTCACTGACTTTCTCCCTCTAGTATCGTATTCGTTGGCGACGTCGACAGATCATACCGCGTCAAACTCTTCCTCGAGCAATTCGGCATCAAGGCGATCGTTCTCAACTCCGAACTCCCGTTAGCGTCTCGAACACATATCGTGGAGGAGTTCAACAAAGATCTCTACAAGATCCTCATTGCTTCGGACGAAACCGACGTCGTTGGTGTGCAAGACGAATCGCGACCCAAGAAGAAAGCGAAAAAGGACAAGGAGACCGACTCCGGCGTCTCTCGCGGTATCGACTTCTTGAACGTCAGCTGTATAATCAACTTCGACTTCCCCGGGAACTACAAATCATACTTCCATCGAATTGGACGAACAGCACGAGCCGGCAAATCTGGCACCGCCATTTCGTTCATTATCCCGAAGGACAAATACCGCAAGCATAAGCCCACTACATTTGCGGGATGTGAACACGACGAAGAGGTTCTCAAGAAGGTAGAGCAGCACCAAGAAGAGGGTCAAAAGCTGGAGGATTACCAGTTCGACATGAAACGATTAGAGCCGTTCCGATACCGGTTCGCAGATGCCCTGAAGTCGGTGACCAGGATCGCCATCCGTGAGGCACGTATCAAGGAAATTCACATGGAGCTGGCAAAGTCGCAGAAGCTGTCTCGATACGTAAGTTCATCCGTATCATTCGCTGCTGGCTCATCCTAACATTGTAACAGTTCGAAGAGAACCCTGAAGCGCTCGCGCATCTCCGCCACGACCAAACTCTCAACCATCCCGCGAGAATACAACCCCACTTGCGACACATCCCCGATTACCTCCTACCAGGAGGGAAGAAGCCGCAAGATGTTGGCTTTGTCGGCCTGAACATACCAAGGGCGAAGAAACAATATACCAAGGGCAAGGGCAGGAAAGTGGTAAGGAGGAATGGCAAGGTCGACCCTTTGAAGACGTTCAATGCGAGGGGTAAAGGAAGGAAATAAGGCATTACGTCCTCGGCCAGCTCCCTTTCAATGTCATTCGTAGACTTGCATCAGATCTATGACAAAATACATCAGCGAGCTTTCCTTCCAATGATCGTGCCATCTACAAGTCAGCCATTCGTGTCCATGTGGCCACCGCTCAGTACTTCTTATCTCATCTGCGCATACATAATGGGAACACCAACGAAGTCGAGCATCATGCTAAGGTGAAAGAATTGGGTATGGCCATTACGGCGCCGATGGACATGTTCTTGAGCATGGGCCTTCATGTAATGGATGCATCCGCGCTTTCTCTTCGCATTGGCCTTGCAGATTGCATGTCGGTGCGTGGCACGTTGTAATATTTGGTGTCGATGCCGTACTATATCTGGATGATGGGCGCGGCGGTGCGGACCCACTAGATGGCGCGTGACCGATGCCGCCTTCCGCTCCTGCCAATCGTCCACCCCTCCACACTCGAACACTCTTGCGCACCCACGATCTATTGACGAGCGCCCTGCTAATATCGTCAGCGCGCATGCGACTTATCTCACACGCCGAACTCCTTTCCAACACAACCGAGATATCGCGCCGGCGACCCTGGCAGCTACGCGCCGCGCCTCGATGCCGCTGGACCTATGGCTTCAAAGTCGCGCTCGATGGACCATCGCATCTCCAGTAATCGCGCTTACTCGTCTGTGAAGTAGCGGTGCCCATGCGACCGTGTAGCGAGAGAGGATGCAGAATGTGTGTATTGACATCCAGATACCGCAGCCTCGAACCCACCCGAATCGCGAAACTCCCGCATACGCTTCGATCGAACACTGCCACTCGGCATCCGACGTTCGCCATCTATTGTCTCACGATAGGAGAAATCCGGTACCTACCAGACCTATCACGACATTCCAGATCATCAGACTATAAATGGCACCTGGTCACGTAGGAGAAGTCATTCAATTTGGTCATATATAACGTATTTGATAATGGGAAAGCCAAAGAAACGGTACGCTCACGTGCCGAACCTCGTCAGAGCAAATATGGAATACTTCGGCCGTTAGTTTCGTGATCTCATACGGGCAGCCAGAATTCTCGCCGATCGAATAGGGTCAGGCTATTCATCCGCATACCACCAGGAGGCAATTACACACGCTGAGAAGAAAACCCGCCCGATGACCAGTTGTTCGAAGAGAAGGCGGTCGAAGATGAAGGAGTATACGCCAGGATTGGCGCATGGTTTTCCTGCGCCCAGCAGCTGATCAGTGCACTGATCTGGTCTTCGCGAACTCGGCCAATGTCTTTGACTTTGACGTTCATCTCAATTGGATACACCTTGCCAAATCGGATGCGAGACTCTCTCCTGATCCTCTCGTTTGGCTCAGCAGGCACAACCTCGATTGGCTCTTTGATCATGCCGCTTTCATATTCGCCGGGAATGTAGCATGATGCAGGATCAGTCCCGGAAAAGTACACGATTGTATGTTCGGCTGGGTTGCATCCGTCCTTAAGAGTTCCACGACCAGAATAGGTACCAAAACCGCTAAAATGGATCAGCGCTCTATCGCGACTTCCGATAGTTACACTGAATCTTACCAAGCGTTTACGAAACCCCGCCTCACTTCCACAACAACAAACCGGCGGATATTAGTGTGTGCGGTCTGTCCGAACCGTATCACTGTGTATGCTTCGTCGTTGGGGTACTGTACGGAGGTGTCGCTTGCTGTCTCGGTGTATAGCATGGCAAAAACCTTTCCCACCTTGAAAAACTCTCGCGCTTCCTGACCAGTTCGCATTCGATAAGCTGACTTGGTGTTAGAGGAAATTTGCGAACGTCTCGATGTACTGACCAATGTCTAGACGATCGTACCACCCAGTCTGTGGCGTGCCTGATATGAACCCTTGTAGCGTACGAACGTCTTGGGGAGCTGAATAGACCAAGTCAGTGTCTGCTTTGCTGCCAGATGACTATTCCACCATACCTGGCTCGGGCATCTGCGGATCTGTCGCTGAGTCTTGTCTGAGACGCGTGTCGGGCGCGTGAGACTCAGCTTGTTGGACGTAGGCTTGAGGCTGTTGGCCCCAATGGTAAACAGGGCGTTCTAGAGGGGTCAGCGACTGGATGTCAGCGTGAGACGTTTCATAACTGACGGTACTGATCGTATGTAACATAGTAGTAATTCTGGTGTTCGGGGCTCCACGTCCACCCTTGGCCGTTGTTCGCCATGTCGGGCGTTTTCACTGCGACACTGAGGCTCAAACTGGGCGAATTCCTAACCTTGTCTGGGTACACAATCGAATTGGAGTCGCTTTCGAGGCTGGCTCGATATACCTGTGCGGATGGTTAGATATCCCTGCAAAGTGTCACTTACTCTCGCGGAGACTGAAGGTATGTCTTATATGCGCAAAAGCTGGGAAAGCGGGAGCATTGCGGCTCTGCTATCTCATAAGGATCAGCAGAAGAGGGTGTGATGCGCGCCATGAATCTGGAATGGCACGACTCCACCTCCGCAACAACCTGCATATGCGCTGTATCTGCTTTCCTTGGGGATGTCGAGCAGGCGCGTACTGTACAGAGACGCTTTCGACGCGCAACAAGGCGACTTCTGGGCTAGACCAGTTTTGCGTTTTCAAAACCGGCACGGCCCACGCATGTCCTGTGGAATGGGCTTGTACCTCCACGCACCAATCACCCGCACACAAGTATTGTCACCAGATAAGCCGGGATGCTGCATGCATATGCTGATTTGCTTTGTTGTGTTACTACATCCGAGCACAAATCAATTTCCGGCTGCACGGCTTCAGCTCCTCTCATGTTTGACAACCGGAACGGACACACGCGCTTGCTGGTCCGTGGACCTCACGGCCATTGATCTGCCACCCACGGTCTTATAGGGGACCGACAGGCCTCGGAACTTGACAGGTGTTCATCTTTGCCAATGCTCAAGGGGAAGGCTGAGCACGTTGCAAGGGTCGTCCTTGAGAGCCATATCATGCTGTCATTTCGGTCATGAAAGACCACTTGATCCCCCGTAAAACCAATACTGATCAGGTTTTCTCCCATCTACACCTTGTTAGAAACGTCGAAGCGAGATGGAAGAGCACTTTCCGACCGAGGTCGAAGGAGCATCTACGACACAAACCCAGCAAATTCGAGCTAGTGTCGAGGCCCGTTTGGAGAGCTTGTCAGAGTTGCAAGATCAGCTAGCTTCAGCTAGAAGGCAGCTACTCATTACGCGTGAGCAGGTGCGGACTGCAAGCCGCAATGTTCGATTAAAGCGGGTGGATGCTGGCGACGCTGAAGTCATTTTCATGAACCGACTACGTCAATTCATTAACGAATCTGGGGATGGGATACCGGAGACTATACTCGACGCCTACAACGCTGTTGCGCAAGCCCGTGACATTCTAGGAGAAATCGAGGAGGATTACCTGCAAGCTGAACGCGACCTTACCGGGGCTGAATGGAGATTCATGGATCAAGAGAATGGGTTCTATCAATTCGATATCTGGAGCATTGTCAATCAGGAGGATTCCGAAGGTGTGGCTGCTTCTCAAGATCAAACGTATGATCTTTCTTCGCATCCACCACCGTCGCAGTCGTCCCCGCCGACCCCCGGTCCCATCGCATATGCAGCAGGGTGGTTCGATACAAGCCATGTGCCCGGCACACCGTATTCTGCTCATTCGCCGTCCTTGCGCTCTGTGGTCCCTACTCTGGACGTCACAGCTACGCCTATCCCCACGAGTGAAGTATACTTCGCTAAACTTGCCGAGGTAGAAAGATTACGGAAGGGTTTCGACCAAATTCGGCACAACAAGGCATCTGATATCGTATGGCAAGAGGGAGGGGGAGTGCTATTTGCTGATGGAGTCGAAACTGCTGATATTGATCCCGCAGCCCCCAATAGCGATTACTTCAAGATTCTAAAAGAACTCTCGGCTTGTGAAGCTAGCGCTCAGCAGCTGAAAGTAGCAGCTATGTCTGGAATCCGAGAAGTACCGGCTTGGGCTTTGGCAAGACGGAATTCCGATCCAATGTATGACCTCACAGCTACACCACCATGTTCAGCGTCGATGCGACGAACACAGACCGAGAGTGCTATCCATTCGATCAAGGATGATCCTACAACGAAAGAGAAGATTCGGGACTGGTCTCTCACATATCTTAAAGTCAGCGCTGTACAGAAGTGCATCTACCTGAACGCACTAGAGGATCGTGAAGTCGCCAGTTCAACCGATGAAGATTGGAGGGCGCGGGCAACACGATTCTGGAGCAACGATAGCGTCGATGAGGTCGGGGGTAGGAACGAGCGTTGTGATACCTCTACCATTGGAACGAGTCACGAACCTGTGTCTTGTCGCGATGGAGACGTTGTGGAGAGCGCACCCCCTTCTCCTGAGTTGCAATCACCACATCCAGAAGAGATGCGCACATGCGATCGAACAAATGGCGGTACACAAGGCTCTGAGCTACGCGAGATGCCAAAAGAAGATGATCGGGATGCTTTGTCGATATCATCTCCGTCACTATCGCTGTCACAGCATCATCGGTTGGATGATACGGGAAGAAAGACGGGCTGCCCGATAGTATCTTCCAATGGGCGATCTCCGGGTATGCGGCAGCGAACAACTGAAGGTGGCATTCCGGTGGATGATGTTGCCGAACATACCCGATGTACTTGTCCTCCTGAGTACAGCGATGCGGCTAAACGGAAAGACAGCGTCCAAGGCACAGATATGGATCATCATCCTAGCTGCGCGATAGCGGTCAGGCATAGTCTCGATGTTCACACGCATCTTCCAGCGCAAATATCACGGGGTCTTGAGGAGACGGTTACAAAGACTTCAACAAACTATGAGCATTGCGATCTAACACAGCCAAGGCTTCCTGCTGATGTTCATCCGCCAACTCCCGCCGACTCGGATGTTGCGAAACCCACACACGTTCAGCCAACTTTGGATAGTGAGACCCGGATCACCTTACCGAGTCCTCGTATGCACATACCTCTATCATCTACTCCCGATATTGAGGCGACGCCGTACTTCGTCGAGACCGCAATTACGTCTGATGCTCAACCAACATCAGGGAGACGAAAGAGTTCGAACAGCTGGCTTGGCTGGCTTCGTGGATCTAAGAAAAAGAGGAGTAAAAGCACTCCATCAATCGCAATGCACCGTCCAGGAGTTCATGCACGCAAGCAGTCAGTGGCGTAACTCGCCCATCTACCCCTGTTCCGACAGATGTCAGCAGAATTGCTCGGTTAGTCTTACCTTTCATCTTCTTGTAATTACATGTTACCAGGAATTGTTCTAATACTGTATACTTTAACAACTTGCGATTACGAGAGCACATTTCGAGCATGCAGATATCGATTTCGGGAGGATTACTGGCTTCGCTGGGGGTTCGCGATTGGTTATTCCTTCATCTATCCGGTATCTCAATACATCTACTGGTTCGTCTGCATGTCATGTTAGTCAACCCGAGACCTCATGAAACGCCAGTTTGCCCACGTCGATGAGCTGAAAGAGGAAAGTGGTGGGTCAATCCACTAGTTGCAGGCGTCATGCGAGCTGGTACTCATACCGACCACACTGTCGGGCTCAGCTGTTTGTCTCCGACGGTGGAGATGATCAGCAGGACGCATACTTACGTGGGAGTGGATGCCTTGCTGACCCGGTGTCAGCACATCGGAGCCCGAAAGTAAGGCTACCGTAGTTCTTTCGGCCCGATAGAAAGACAACTGCCGGTGTTACGGACCCGGCGGGGTGCCACGGATGCACAGCATCTGTTACCGATAATCGCCAACCGCGCGGTACGCTCAATTTGGAAGGAGTTGCAAAAGCTCGCCAATGGCGTATTGATAGGTATCGTATGTGAGCATGAGCTTCGGGATTGACATGCGAATACTATTGGCCGTGATATGTAATCAGATGGCACGGCAGTTGGGTAGTCAACATCGATTTGTCACTTTGCCAGCAACTCAACCGCGGAGCAAGATCAAGAGAACGACACGGCATCGCTTGATGCTGCCTCATGTACCGCCCCATCGACCGGAGTTCCAACGGGCCGCCGGACCCCACTTGACCCACCGCGGCATGCAAGAAGGCGCCTAGCTCCCGTCTTACACGCCGCCCTAGCGACTGCCTGAAGGTTAAGGCCAAACGAGTGCATGCAGCTTGTAGGGCTGGGAATACCGTCCGACCCACTCATTCCGGAAAGATATACTGTTCACAGCGCAAAGCTGAACGGCATGCACGCAGCATCGTACGCGTGACTATAGCCTGCAGCATGCGCCAGCTGTTTGGCTACCCGCGCGCTGCCGTATAACCGGTTTTGCCGTATAACCCCGCGCGACGTGGGCACAATGTCGCTTATTGCCTTATTATCAGATTGGCCCTATGTTGCGTCTTGGTAACTGGGCATAGGCAGGTCTTACCACCACGTATCTGCCTGTTTGGCTGCGATAGGTCACCTAAGTCTGATGGCGTCGGTAAACGAGATACTCCGCGACAGATGAGTGAGGCAGCCATCTCACTACGGAGATGACAGTGACACTTGCGTCTCCCCGCACGATCAATTGGTTGCTGTTCTCGTGGCAATAAGCCCATCCAGACTGACCAATCATCTCCGCGCTAAGACATCTATATCGGTGAGCGACGCGACACGGCTGAAGATACGGCTGAACGGGCTACGAAGCCTGCTGGTCGATAGTACAGTGACCAGAAGTCTGAAACCTGTTGGCTAGCAGCTGAGTATTGTACGCGAAACGGATGAAGACTGGAATGTGACATGGATGAAAGGGTCAATTCCAGATTGGTGTGCTGGTACGAGCGCGGCCGAAAGGCTTGCGGCTCTGCTATATATCGACTGTTGATTGGTGGATAAGATATATCATGAGATGTGCCTTGGAAGAACGTGTGACTCATGACCAGATGCACTTGCAGGAAGGCTTGCAGGACATGTGCATATTACTAGGGTATGCGTTTGTACCCCCAAGCGGTGGCTCAATACATCCATGTCGTGGCTGAAGCATCGTCAAGCTTCAAGAGAAAGTTCTACCGCGGCTTAGTCCGCGACAAGACACGTGGAAGCGAAGCTGATAGTCAAGAAAAACAAGAGTGTCTATTGCATGGAAGGTAGCAAAAGGTAGAGAACTGTCGCTTCACATAGCTTCTCGAGACACCCCTCATCGTATTGCTAGTGTTCTTGCGTCTTGGTGGAACCTCAGATCATATCCATCCATCAGATCTCATAGTACATTTGGATCGCTGGCATTAGGGTAGTTTTAGTCTTCATCGTTGTGCTCCGTTGAAAACTCATGCATTATTAGTAAACTGTGTTCTGATTCGAGCTGTGCTAGCCGATTTAGGGCAGTTTCAGCAGTGGAAAAATTGGACGACCTCAATTCCAACCATGCATCCTCATCTGGCCAGGGGTAAGTTGCGCGACATTCGGTTTGGACTAAACCTGCCGGCCAGATAAACCCTAGAAAGACCCGCAAACTCGACGCACTCCGGCAGTGTACAATATAGTGAGACGGCTTTCAGTGAAATACGCCGATTTGTGGTTGTCCGCAACAAGGGCGAACTCAGTCAGTGCATGTACGTATATCATTAGTAATTTTCGAAATATACTAAACTCCCTCGACCGATACAAACGTATAGAGGTCGCGGCGCCGCGAAACCCGGTATGAGAATAGGTGATCACATCATCATTCATACTACGGTAGTCGCACCTAATCAACTTCCAGAGGATGCTTTAACAAAATATTCCATCCAAGTCCAATCCACGGAAGAAGGATACCTTAAGCTAGAGAGTCGTGTCAATAACGGTGGAGCCTTTGTTGTTGAGGATGGTGATACTAGATCACCGCTATCTCATTAAAGAATACTTTGATGCTGCGATGCAGGCATAATGACAGGAACAAGAATATGTGCCACATGCAGAGTACCGATCTTTTCCTTTTGTAGTTTAGGCTCTTTGCTCGCGTTTCCTATTTGGAAGCGCTGCACCATACGCAGTCCTCCAACGTCGTTTTCCTCGTTTCATTTAGCTGATCTCATTTCCTACTTCTCTTCTTAGTATAGGCGTATCGCGCACATATTTATTCTTGACTGGTCCCTAGGTGAAAAGGGGACGAGCTTATTGGCTGAGTGTAAGACCAGTGTCGCTTCACCTTCGGGAAAGTTTGCGGGATTTCATACTTATGCTGTCATGGTATGATAATGCCGTTCTTCACTTCGCATCAGGATGTTTCCACCTGGATCCTCGTATCACCATAACGCGCTCTATGAATCTTTCGGAGCGGCAAAGCTGGGTAACCGACGATTCGAAAGAAGTACTGCGTAGGTCGTGTTTGGTGGGGTCGATCCAGAACCAGACCGCAGTCTGAGTCAAAGGCGCATTCTATTCTTTCTGTGTTTGGTGGGGTGATGCCATCCAGCTGTGTTGAAACTTGAAACCGCAGCTTGCCCCACATTGTCTTGTAAGGTTTATCGATAAGCAATTGAACCGCGTCGTGGGCCTGTGCTGAACGCGTCAACCTGGCAGATGACGACCGACCTCTCGCTCACATCACCAAGTACCACCATCGCAATCATCGTAATGGGACACCAGGTCAGACGCCCTGTTATGGGTACTGGTTGCTCTGTATCATCAGAACGTAGCCAACTTGTGAGCATACTGCCCTAAAGTGAAATGGACGCGTTTTGGAGCAGATTTCGTACACCGCGAAAGCACGGCACGAATAGGTATCAGCACCAAGCCATAACACACTGAACAGGCGCAATGGTACGATAACACGTCAGATCAGATCTATGAAGCGATGTCTGACACTTTGACAGGATGTTCGTGTTGTCTGCCCAATCTCTGCTGTCTCTAGTACCTACGGTAGCTGAGACCCACCACATCCACACCAACACACCAACTATGGCTCCGGAGTGGCCCAAGATCCGCGCTTTTAACTTGAAGGCAGCGGAGGAAGAGGAACGGCGCCATCGGGAAGAAGAATTCGCTCAGTTCTTCCTAGAGAACAAATTCGAGGACATTGTAGCTCGGGGAAATTCCATCTTCTTTGTGTGCGCAAATCTCGAAATCTGGTCCCATCCCATCCCATGGTACCGCGATGACCCATCAACGACGAGCCACTCACGACTCCCGCTACACACACGAGATACACGATGACTGAATCCGCCTATTAAATATGGAAGGGATGAGAAAGAGGGTAGCTCGGGGGAGATGGATGAAGCTAAAAGTATGCATCGCGTCTTCCGAGTACACTGACTGCACCGTTAACATGCGCAGTCCGCGCCAGTCCACTGGCCAGCTGAGCTGGTTTGAAAGCACGTACATCCCTGTCATGTGTTGACCTCAGCGGTCATTGAGCAGTACAAAGCCATCAACAAAGTTTGGCTTCTGGATGCCAAGAAAGAGACCGCCGACAGTCTCGAGTTCGTTGTTTATGCTGCCACCATACACGACAGCAAGTCGCTCGGCCGAGACCGACTGGAAACGGCGTGCCGAAGTATCCGCCATCATATCGAAATCGCGCTCCTGGTGTTACGACCACCAACGGAGCAACGGGCAATCGTCTTCGATATAGCGCCAGGCAGTATCGTCACTTTGAGAGGCCCGCCCTCTGGATCGCGAGTTATGTTACCATCCCCACACGCGTCAGTGCCGCACAAAGCCAACTGGCGGTCAATCGACCTGTCGACCTCCGTCATGCAAGGGGTTCCCAAAGACCTCAACCACGAGCTCGCCCTTCTGCAGTACAGGATCGGGCGATACGACATGTCCATTACGTTTGGTGCCCTCCTCCTCAGGGACATCCGCAATGAGTCCGCAACGCTCGCTGATGTCGGGACGAGATGCGACGCCCTGAACGGGCAGCAAAGGATAATCACCTCATTTTCCGACAGTGCCGGATACCGTGGGGCCTACGTCAATGCTAGACCCTCTACTTTGCGGCTTTTCATTTCGATGTAGGCTGCAGACCAAAGTTTTATTGTGAGTTCTGGCATAATTATTATTATTTTCGAGGTACCCTGGAGCCCACATCAATACCAAATCTTATACTTTGCAACGTTTTGTTCTGATGTAAACTACAGACTAGGGATTTCCTTGAACAATAATAACTACTTTGATGCTTACATCAACTCAGCATCTTCATAATTGCGTATCGCTGTTCCGATGTCGGCTCCAGGCCTGTTCGGATTCTCCATGTATCATGTGACTTTGTCCGATTTCGAGCTCTACCCTTGGTGGTCCCTTGTTACTGACTTTGACTCCAGAGAACAAAGCCATACGGGCCGATGTTGCTAGCCTCCAGAGTGACAAGGACAAAGCCATCACCGACCTCAAGTCAGCCGCCAACGACAACCTCTGGCTTGCCCACCTGCTCCAAGGAAACGCCACAATATCGATGTGACGCTTTTTTCTTATGAGAAAGCAGACCAGGCCCGCGAGTTGGCGAGGTTGCAACACGCGGCCGCCGCCCACCTGGTTCAAACGCACAAGGACGACGTTGCTGATACACACCTGAGCTTTGACCGGAGGAATGACGCGGCTCGAGCGCATGAACGCGGCGCGATTGAGCGGATATGCAACGAGACACTTGAGAAGATGAAGCGTTTCGCCGAGCAGAAGTTTTCGTACAACGAGTTCATGCACGAGCGGGCAGAGATCAAGATTGAGCGCCGAGTGAGTGCTGAATTCGATAAGCGCCTCCAACCGCACAAAGCCCACGAGTCGGAACTCCGTGAGCAGATCTATAAGCTCGTCGACGCGAAGTACGACGATATCGATTCCACGATGGTTACCTTATGCAACACTGCCTTCGCAGACGGCGAGCGGATCGGTCGCGACATCGGCTTCAAAGCCGGCTTCCGTATGAAGAGGACCCTGGAGGAGCTTGAGCTCTCAGGCGGAAACGTCCCCATCAGCGTCTGCGAGCCTTGGGTCCAGGATGCTGTCGACGAGGCCGCCGCTATGAGCCTCGAGGCGACCCGCACGAAGCCCAATCCTATGCCGACAACCTACGACCAAGCATGTGCCATCCTCAAGAAGGATATCGTCAAGCAAAGATTGTGCATCAACGCTTTGGTCAAGTCGTTGTTGACATCCAACCTGGCCATGCGCCTCTTGGCAATCTCCCTGTCGATAGCCAAGTTGACGACGAAAGGCCTAATGACCATGACGATCTTCTTTTGACCCTGCCTGAAGGCCCTGCACATGGCCTGCCTCTCGTTCGAGACATTCCACCATTCCCCGCACAAAACGGCGATGTTGCCGGCTGTGAGATTGAGACCGACGCTACCGCACTCTGCGGTGATGAGTAGAATAAGGCACTCGGAGTTTTCCAAGAACTTCTTCTCGATGGCTGTTCGGTGCTTCGGCAACACGGTGCCATCGGATCGAAGACATTCAACATTGTGCCGCATGCGTAATCCCTTGTTGATGATGCCGAGGTATCTGAGATGCTGGGAGAAGACGATGATTTTGTCTTCGGGTCGCTTCTTGATGAGGTTGTAGAGCATGTCCACCATAGCCGTGACATGTGGGGATTCAAACACTTGCGCCTCTGACCAATCCGCAAGTTTCGCCAACCATTTGACTCTCAGTTCTGCCGATGTCTCGTGTTCCTCGTGGATGAATGGGTTGAGAACTCTGGCGCTGATCGCTTCTGTCGCGGCTTTGTTCTCTTCATACCCTTCGTCGACATCGTTCTCGGCATCCCAATCAGGTCCCTCTGGGTCGTACTCGTCGTCCGCAGTCAGGGCCTTTGCTTTGCCCTTACCTTTTGCCACCTTCTTCAACGCTTTTTCCTGCCGCCGGATGGCTTTGTCCTCCTTCTTCTCGTAATCCGGCACTAGGAGCGGATGGAGGGAATATACTTGCAGCATGAAGTAGGAAGACTTGCTCTTGACGGCTCGCGTATGGGCTGGCCGACATTGCTCTTCACATCCCTCGGGAAATCGCCGCGGACGCCATTGCGGTATTGCACCGCAAGAACATGAACAACACTGTTAAATCGCCACCACCTTATACAAGAAAAAGACTAAACAGGTTTACAGACTACATTAAGACAAAAACTTCTAAAGTAGGCAACCTAACGTTAACGTAGGCTCTAGGCTGTTTAGCTTTTCCCTAGGTTAGCGCGCTGAACTTGTCACAATCATCTCTCCATGTTGGTCGTGGGCTCCAGTGATGGACCGTTGGTGTTGTTTCCTAGTTGACTTTCGGCGACAGGTGCCGGGTCGATTAGGCGGCAGCCTAAGCTACGTCACTGTCTTGGCCCGCCCCCAGCCAAGCATCCCGCCCCGCACACACCTGGATATTATCAGATATCTTCAGGAACAAGACGCCGAACATCGCAGCGACTACGGGTTCACCTGACTTTTTGTTCTTTACGATAGCTGGCGCGGTCAACTATACACATCCAAATCGACAGTTTCGAAATGAACAAAAGGAGGTGAAGCATGAGAGACATATCATTGATCTATCTCAAGTAGTCATCGGCTCTGCTAAAGACACCGGATAGTAAGAGCAGCTGCGTTCAGGCAGACGGCAAGAGGGAAGAGCAAGTATGATGGCTTTGTGCAATGTTCAGGCCCAGTCAGCATCGCTGTACTGCCTGACCTTCTCCTCGACCCCATGATGAGCCCAGAACCGGCGATAGTTCTCCTTGCATCCCTCCCAGATGTCGTCATCGAGAGGGATGATCCCGCCCTCACACTTTTCGTATTCGTCGGCGCCGGGGTACTCTTGGATTTGCGGCTTGCCTTGCACTTGTTGCGGCAACATCATATGAGATGAGCGGGGCGGCACGATCGGGTATGGGAGCTTCTGTATCTGGCGATAGCGACGGGCGTTCTTCGAGTGGTTGTGGAACTCGGCCTCGGTAAGACACAAGACAAGATCGAGGATTTGCATTATCTATGGCGGCTTTGTTCGCCTTGTTACCAGATTACTTCATCACTTCCTAGCAGAGACGGCTTCGTGCGGGGTCAAGTCTAAGTTGACGGTGGGGCTGGAGGGCTTTGTGCAGCGACGGCCTGGACAGCGGCGACTTGACGGGCGTCATAATGCAGAGCCATCTGGGTGACTAGATTCGTCAGTACATTGTAGACTTTCGCAAGTGAGCTGGAGTGACTTACGGTCTCCTGCCGCGATGGCTTGGAGTGCGGCGACGGAGGGGTTGCCGGACAAGAGATACCCGCAAGCATTCGCAACGTGGCTTGTGGGTCACTGTCTGGCTGGACGAGTCAGATATCGCCCCGTCATTGCATACCGGTCGTCACATCAGGCCCACAAGGCTGCATTACAGAGGGCCCACCCCGAACACTCTAGAGCCTACATCAGGACAAAAGCTTGCGAAGTTAGTAACCTAACGGCTCCGTAGGCTCCTGGGTGTTCAGTTTTTCCCATGTGTGGGGTGGGCCGGCAGTCGATGAACGGCAAGCTGTAGGCAATCCTCAGCATCGATGTTTTGTCGCTTCAGTCGAGAGTTACGCCGTTCAGGCATCTCAAGTGACACATTCTGGCTACAGATGTGATAACCTTGGAAGTTTGCTCCAAGTACTCGCCTGGAAGGATCGTAACAGTGCCCGGGGTTGCCTAATAAGAGGCAAAACGCCATTGACGAAGCCACCTGATATGTGATTGGGGAACAGAGCTGCCAGGAGGGTAGCCTGGTTAGTTGTGCGGGGCCACATCACAACAGTTGGATGCGCTGCATGCGCAGCTTCGGGATAATCACTTCTTCCTATGCCACATACGCGTCCATTCGTGTTTGCTACTTTCCAACCCCCACCGATCGCGATGGAAAAACGGCAGGTAGTCATCAGTTAGCTCCCAGGCAGCGGTGCAACGGGGCTGCGTCGGCCGGGCGCGAGCGCGGGACGCTCCTTCCGCGCGCGCTGGGTCTCGGCTGCTGCCCCTACCGGAATGCGTCCCACCAGAACAACTTCACCGGAATTCTCAAGCACGGAAGGACCTCTATGGAACAGAAAGCGCTAAAGGAGATCGTCTCTCGTGCCTATTTTCGGTATAACTCTATTTCAACGTCGTTTCCACGACGAGAGGAAGCATTAGAGGTTTCTTCGGCATGCCGGAGCTGAAGTGCAGATGACGCATGTGAAAGCTTGAGGGTGTCCGGCTCGGCTGCAAGTAGCCCCCGTGCAGCAAATTGGATTTGTTTATTCACGGGTTGGAGTCTCATCGCCCTACCGAGCCTCCTGGTCCTTGTTTGATTGCCTGCTGCCGTCAGATAAGTGACGTTTGCGGAAGCTGGCTAATGTCCTTCGTCCATCATCCGTCCAAATGAGCTCACCGAGCCTGCCTGGGTATCGATCTCGCTGTTCTTCATGTGTATTCCATGTATATGGCATGCAAGGTTGCTGCAGCCATTTGTCGGATATGAGGGTTGTGGGTGCGGGGTATGACTGTAGCCTTCGCGCAGACGATAAGACATTGTGTGCGGCAGACTGCAAATCACTTCCAAGCGCATGATTCTGTCAAAGCGGCGTTGCTCAATCATAAGTATGACGCGTGGCGGACGCCGATGCGTCGCAGCTGTACGTCAAGGCTGCGGCATGACTAGGTGATCCGGTTGGGTACTGCCTGCGAGACTCATGGCTACGACCTATTGGCTATGACTGTGATTGTACAGGTGTAACGAGGGCTGCGCGATATCATTCTTCTTGTCTGTGATCCATAGGTATGCGTTGCGCGGGCATCGAACGGTCAGCAGGTTCCCCACAGTTGTGCGGTCTTTCTCCGACGGTTGCTGTTGGCTCCAGTAGTCAACGTGTCAGTACACTATAGATGTTATTTATAGCGAGAGAATTCGTTCCATAGTGGCTGCATGTAGATGCGAAAAAGAGAACGTGCTTACTGGTATTTTTGAAACGGTCCTGCCAGTACACAAACCAAGAAATGTCTACCGAACAGACTCCCGGCTGTCGAGACGCCAACCTCAATGAAACTTATTCTCTATGTATACATCGAGACAAAGGGAAAATACGATAGCAAAACCCGTCTTGATGTCCAACAAAGAACCCTTTTACATATTTATACACGGTATCGTATAACAACGCTAGCGAAGTTCAAGGTAGTTGAGGCGAAGGAAAAGTGATCACACCAGACAGAAGAATGCTAGGCACATTCTCCATGCTGAGTGGCTCTACATGACGAGACATCTGTCTACCAACGACGGTTGATCAGCTTGTGGCGACACCAAGTCTGGATCCTGTGATGGTGGCGGTCGTTCTGATCCTGAGCGCTGGCGATTTGGGCCGCCGGTATGGCTTGGACGCCTTCTGTATGCATCCGGGGTCTTGGGATCGAATACAGGTGGTGGAAAGGTGCATGACGACATCAAAGGAGTCCCAGTATCGGTTGTTGAAATTATTGCTGGCACCGGCTCGATGTCCTTGAGGTCAGGTATGGTGTGGCGTCTTAAAAGTGGTAAGGTCGGTGTTGTGTGGAAGCTGCCGCTCTGCCGTATCGGTGTTATGTTGTAGCTTGTTGGTTTCGCTCCAACGCCCTCTGTGAATGATATCGAGCGAGCATAACAATAATAGTGGCGTGTACTACCATCTTTATCTGGAACAGTGCTCTTTTGTGATGCGCGTGATCTTGGCGATTGCGATGTACATGGCGAGCTCGAGGCATTTTTTGTTGCTTCAGCAGGAAGCCTAAGTGGGGTGCACGCTTCATCTCTTGCATCGTGGGAGTCGCCTAGTTCCATGATATTGGTCACCAGTGCAGTATCGGATACACTAGATAGTTCGAGACCAAGCATCATTTCATCTGCGCTATGTTGTTCGCGACCAGACGGCGTTTGGCTCAACCCGTCTTTGGTAGACTTGGTTATGTGTTGATCCGTGTGATTGATGGAAACCGTGGAGTCGCCAGTGTGGAAACGTTTTGAGTAGTCTTGAATCAGAAGCCATTTGGTGTGCTCCCACCATATCCGTGTGTCTGTGAATCCAAAGTCATGTATCGCCTTCAGACAGAGCTTTAGAAGAGGCGAAGAGTCCACCATCTCGAGTAGCCACTCATCGATATCGTTCATTTTCTCTACCCAACGCAAATGGTTATGTGTCTGGTGGAACCGACCGACATTATTCGTGTTGAGCAACATCAAATCCCTGCGATTGCTCGGGCGGGAGTGAGATTGTTGGAATCTTGCATCTGCTTTGCGTGTCGACATCAGAGCTTGCTCTGCTAGAAAGTCGGATAGTTGCGTGCCACGGCTGTCGCCCACTTCATCACCGGAGGCTGTGAGATCCGCTATCATTGAATCGGAGTTAGTATCACCTGTCATGGAATGGGTTGTCAATTGCAGGATTTCCAGGTTGTCTGCACTTCGACTTCGGTCCAGCGTTTCGCTTGGCACAAATCTGTTGTTCAAAACTTCCTCAACGAACCTTGTTTCTCTGCGAGAGTATTTCCACTCTAAGGTATTGTAACTGGCTTCGGCTTCATCGTATCCTGCTTCTATGAGGCCATGTCGGTCTCTTAGTGAAGACGCGTCAACGAGAGCATCCTCAATATCTTGCGGTAGATTGGCACCTATCCCATTGAGATACTGCCGTAACAGATTGAAAACGTGGCCATCCTTCGCACTCGTCTGTATATGAAGATCGCGGAGTTCCTGGCGCTTCGCGGCTAAGGAGAAGCGCGTGCCCACCAACTTGTCACGGAGATCCCGCAACGATTGCTGCTCGATATCTAGCTTCTCAGATATCGCACTCCGTGGTGCTTCCGGGACAAGAAATGGATGAGGATCGTCTGCTGTGGGCAACGGAGGAGGTGGAGGGACGTTCATCTCGGCGAATGAGATTGGCGGCGGCGGTGGAGGATAGACCATCACGGGTGGAATGCTCGGGCGAGGCTGAGCGGTATCGTCTTGACCATCACTGCGATCGCCATGCACCTCAATGGCTCGAGAACTTGAAGAGATTGGAGCATCATGGTCAACTTGAGATCCATCTGGCGATACCACTGAACGCGTTGGACGTATAAGATCTGGCGAACCCGGTGTCCCGGTCCATTCCTTTGACGTCGCACTCTCAACGATAGATGCTATACTTGTTAGAACGATCCGTAGTCGTCAGAATGCCGGAGAGCAATATCCACCGGGAGCAAGTAGTTCATACTGACCAGTGGCTCGTGGTTCGCACTGCATTCCTGGAGAGACATTGAACAATGCTATGCTCGGGTACGAAACTAGACTGAAAGTGATGCATCCCGGACAGCAAAACGCGGCGGCAGCGAACGTATTATCCGTTTGTAATCTCGCCGGCGCCCCGTCACCGTGCACATTCGCTGATGCGCACTGATCGGCAAGGAGAGTCCCGAGGGTTGCTACTTGCTCCCGAATTGGCGGGTTCGACCATGTGGCACATGGGCTCCATGCACTGGCTGATAACAGAATAAAAGCAGCGTTCATTTGTGAACGGGGCGGGTGCAGAAGCGTGCTAGTGGCCGTGCTAGTCATCCTCGGCACGGGCACATGGGCCATCGCCAGCCTGTGGCAGCCCGGCACTCGCGCCAACCGTCTGCACCTTCACTCTATCGCCATCTGCAGGAGGGTCGCGTCGACATCATGTCTAATACAATAGAAGACTTCGCGTCGTCGCATGTATCTACTATGCGGCTCTGCGCGATCCAGTCATGTGGCAGTATGTACATAAGCACCTGCAGCGCAGCGTTTCAAGGTTGTATCGTCTGAGTTGTCGCGCGCGGACAATGTGGCACCACTGACGGCATGGCTCAACCACAACAACTAGCACAGGAGTGGAACAGCGAATTTCAGAGATACGTGATTCCGTTTTGGGATAAGAACTATGGACGTTACTATTGGCAGCACTATATTGAAGGTCCGTAGCCGACCCTTACTGGTATGCGTAGAGGCTGACTTGAAATAGGCCAAGGTTGGACATTCTTCGACTGGGCTCCCGTCGGATGGGTTCCCGCGGCGGCGCATGCCGTTACCCCGGCTCAGTCTCAAGTCCAGTTCCAGCAGCCGCATATACGTAGCGACTCTGTACAAACTGTCACCGCATCCGGGGGTGGGCCTGCCCCTTACGGACGTGATGGGCGAGGCGAAATGGTTTACGCGACCTATAATCCTACAAATCCACTACCTAGCAGTCACTTCGAGACACTGGATCCTTGTCAGGCTCCAATCATCTCTAGAGACCACACATGCTGACCTATCGTAGCCTTTTACGTCAGGGGCAGTGCTTTCTTTGAGGAAGGGAAGGTTAGTAGTAGGCCTATGAAACGAGGCAAAGATCATTGACAGTCAATCAGGTCTTTTCAGTTCTCTTCACTGAGCCAGCGGGTACCAACGCCCTGAACGGGCTGAATCCCATGGCCGACTACAATACCAACTTGTCCAACAATACCAACCTGTCAAGGGTCAGATTCGGTGAACATGTACATACCCAAGTACGCAGGTTCATCGTCGTTAAACGTAAACGAGAGTTCTGCTTCGCTGTGTACGCGATTCTCTCCACGTTCTAGACTGTGAAATGGCTAATGTTCGGCAGTCCAATATTCACCTATTACGGCCAAGCCACCACGAAGCGTGGAGTACATCCTGACGAGCATGCCATTGCCTATTCGCTAGGACAGCAACCACAACTTGTACAGGGTGAAGCGCCGCTCCGGAAGGTTCCCATCCCAATCGAAATGGAGGAAAACAACAGGGCGCTGGTCCCGGCCTCCAGAATTTACTTCGCCATCCACCACCCGATTCAGTACAACGTCAAGGTGAAAAATCTCGGCCACGTCCATCCAGATTATCTTCCCACTTTCCTTGGCTACTGGAACCAGGAGAACACAGACTCACAGGACGACCCTGATGTGGCACAAAACCCAAACAATACGGACAATTTCTAATCCGCGACTTCCCGAGATATCGATAGCTTCTTTCTCAGGTTTGATCAAAATACGTTTTGATTTTGTATTTCTTACCATAACGATTTCATTGCTATTGTTTCGCGCTTTTTGTTGACGTTTGATCGCACCATGTTTCGGTTAGTCGAGGTCGTTTCCGCTCAAATACGCTGCTTTCGAATGACGATTTCTTCAGTAATAGCTATCTGCGAATGAAGTTTCCGGTATTTCTCGCTATATCTTCCCACTAGTTCACTCGCGACTGAAGGCGTATCGTTCAGTGTGACCCAGGGTACGCCATGTGATATCTCTATTTGGGCTGCTACATGTTCATGCAAATCAACGATACAAGACCAACCCGGAATCTTCCCGAGTGCATTCATGCCCACCAATACCTCTACCACTGTTCCTTGCCCTTGTATCCGTTCTGTGCATTCGCCAATTGTGTAAGGATTTATTGGGCCTCTTGTATGTTGCTGGGTGCGTTTCATCCATTTGCTGAGATGCGAGCTAGGAATGAAAGAAGCTGTCTAGTTTGGAACCGGGTGGAATGCTTTGTACACCTGTAGAGCCCCTTCAATACTTTGCACAAGACCGAAAAAGACCGTAAGGCAAAGCACAGTAACCGCAATCCAGAGAGTATACCACTGAATTCGGTTCCTTCTATCGTACCAGTGTTGTGAGATGGAAGTAGGCTTTGGTTGATCGAATCTCTCTTTCAAACTCATCAGTTGATCGCGCCAGTAACTAAATTTTGCAGCACGGCGATCACTCCAGATCATGTTGTTTCGATCGAGCAGTGAAAGGTCCAGGTGTATGACGTCTTCGCCTTGCGACTGTTGGGATTTCAGCCATCTTCGCGACTCAGCGTCCTGTCGCGGGAATAACAAGTCCAACGTTCGGAGCGTCTCGTTGACAAAATTGTGGGGGAATATGTCACTGGTCTGATTAGCGATAGAAGCAGAGATCTTACTTGAGAACATGCCTGTCTTGATGTTGCAAGAATGTCGCGTGGTGGAAGATGCAGATCCTCCGCTCGTTGTCGATTAGCCGCAGGTGGTCAGCGAGATTGCTGGTCCATTGGATCTTCAGCCCTGTAAATCGCTGGATATTGAACGCCGTGAACTCTTCCTCGAATACAACATTCCCGGTCTCCGCTGAACTGACGGCGAAGTAATCCGCGAGAACCGTCTTCACGTCGTCTTGCTCATCGCTCCACGGTAGAAAACTTGAACCCCATTTTTGGTACTTCGACGGAGCTCCTACGTCTATCATCAAGAACAAGCGAGCTACTAGCCGAATTGCCCCTTCTGCCATATGGTATTTGTCCTCTTCAAGTCTTGGCTGCGTGACTAGTGACGCGAGAGAGCGCTTGATCGTCTCTTTTGTCCCCCCTTCTTCAAGTTTACGAACGATCGCTATGATATCTCGGTGTTCTCGCACAGTTATATACGCGCCACCGTCGGGCTCGATAAACTTCCTGCATTCCGTGGTGTAGTGCCGAAAATACGCATCCCAGGGGCAACGATCTCGATCTTCTTTTACTGCTAGTATCGGGGTAGTTCTGACGGGCCAGAACGCTTGCAGAACGTCGCGTTTATCTCGAGTCTGTATGGGGTCTTCATTAGCCTTGCCGGAAAGTGCCATGTTTGAAGTCATGGCTCCGCAAGGGAAGAGTTCTAGAGACGCATCAGTGTACCTAGGTACTCAGTCTGACGGTATACTTGGAACTATAGGTACACAGGTGGGTTTCAGGCTATCATCTCTGGGCTGTGTTATAATATGACGGCGTGGCGTCGCCAAGCGCCGAAGTCAGGCCTGATCGTGCGTTGTTGGGGGCGCGTCGCTCACCGGAAGGCGGTGCGGGGTCGATCGAAGTGCATTCAGTCCGCAACTTCTACTACTCCACAACACCCGTGGACTCACTCCCTCACATTGCGCATGATAAACTTGTGCCTATATCAGGCATTAATTCGTTCGTCTACCGAATTCTCGGCACAGTGATGACATATGTTAGTCACAGCCCGGGACGAAGAGCTGTACCGAACAGCTTGTCCAGTCATGGTGTATTATTCACCCACAACGACAACGCGGCCAAGTTTCGTCAACATGCCAGTTTCTATAACACCGCCGGACTACGAAAGTTCAGTTGATATTGATCAACCAGTGGTCGTGGATCTAGACACAAATCCGATATGGAAACGAAGGCAGTTACAGCGTTGCTGGGCGGCGAAGGGACAGTGTGCTCAAGATTACAAAGACATGGAGGCCGAACTACTGAAAGAGCTGGATCAATCTCGACGAGAGTCTTTCTGCGAAGTCGGGGTATCGCTCTATATGATAGGAAGAACTCCGCAGAAAGCGAAACCTTTCATCATTGTTGCAAGTGAAGATCAACCATCACGCAAGGAAGCCGTAAAGGCTATCAACAGAAGCGTGCTGTTCAAGAATTCAAATTTCAAGATAGGAGTAACAAGATATCTACCGTCAGGTCCGATTATCCCAGTGGCGGGATCACCCAGCGATGAAGGCTGGGATTCCACATCAGACACCGGAGGATGGGATTCGAATACAGGGAAAATGAAGGCCTTAAATCCGTCTTATCAACCAGGGGTATCATCCTCTTTATCGGCTTACTATGATCCTAAGCAACGGTTGCGGATAACAGGAATGCCAATATACGTCAAAACAGTGGACGCGCGGATAAGAACGGCGACAGCCAACATTGTATACAATGGCTCCTCTTACGGATACATCACGGCCGCTCATGTCTTTGGTATTTCGAAACAAACCCCTTCCTCAAGCGACGACGGAGAAGATCTCGGTATACCATTCGATAGCGATAGCGAAGATGAAGAGAAGTATGCTGATGATATATCATATGCTGGAAATATGATCCAAGAATCCATGGGACCAGGAACATCTCAAGCCACATATGCTCAGGATATCAGGTCACATGAGCTCACAGAATCTGGATCTCTGGACGATCCCGCGTCTAGTTTAGTTTTGCTGGGACAGTTGGCTGATGATCAGAAGGACATCGAGACGTCTTTAGACTACGCCGTCATTAACATTGACAACACTCAGCTTCTTGGACATATTGCAGATTCCGAGATCTCTAAAAGAATACAGAAGGTGCACATACATACAACTTACTCGAGGCCATCGCCAGCTACGGCATTGACGACTCGTGGTCCCATCAATGGCACACTAATCAATGTGCCCACTCTCATGCGTCTACCGGGTAGCAAATACTTTCAGCCGGTATATACCTTCTCGTATGAAAGCCCAATCAGACACGGCGATTGTGGATCTCTGGTTCTTGATACGCTGAGCAAGGAGCTCTGTGGCATGGTGGTCGCTGCTTCAGAGCGACAGCCTCTCGCATACGTTGTCTCGGCGAAAAGATCGAGCGATCACATTGCTAGAAAGGGCTGGCAATTTGTGCATGTGGATGATGATTACATGAACCTTGGCGAAAGAGACGACCAGGCGGCGTACGCCCCGAAACCCCAAATCTCTCAAGCGGTATTGCCGGAGGTAGATGTATCTCAAGTGGAATCATCATTGAGTAGTAGAATCCTGGAAGAGTCATCCTCAGAGAGCGTTTCCCAAGCCATGTGGTTACAAGCAAAATCCATCAATCCAACGAATCTCCAGCCTGAATGGAATCCTCAATTTCAGCGATATCTATATCTACAATTTAACGACCAGTATCAGCGATGGTACTGGAATCATCATGACGGTAGGCAGTAGGGTCGGAAATCACGTACATTTACTAAAGACTATCAGGGCAAAGTTGGGTGTTCTTCGACTGGGTCCCGCTGGACCTTACGCCCCCTGTCCCTCAACTGCAAAACCAGTCGCAAATGCGAGCTCAACCTCTCTTCGATGTATATCAGACCTCTCACTACCCTCAAAATCAACGCGTAGACTCTGTTCGCGCGGCGGGACCAGCCGGCAATCGCCAAGGAAACCAAATCTTCGGCTCCTATGACGGTCGCACTGCACAGTCCGACAGTCACTACGAACATCTTGATTCATGTATGTCATGACTGAGGATTCTCATGCATCGAAGAGCTAATATACAAAAGCTTTCTACGTCAGAACTGCGTCCTTCTTTCACGAAGGGAGGGTATGTATCATCCTCCGCTGCCAAGACCAAACCTGACAGGATCAGGTTTTCTCAGTGCTATTTAGCGAGGTAGCTGGTGCAAATACATTTAATGCACTGAGAGATATCAACAAGGTGACAGACTACAACAGTGCCGTTTCGATGGTAAAGTATAGAGAGTTCGTACATACGCAAGTGCGGAAGTTCATCGTGGTCAAGCAAAAAAGAGAGTTCTGTTTTGCCGTGTAAGTTGTGTATCCTTCGTCGTCGTACACTACTGACAACAGAAAGACCAATCTTCACCTATCAAGGCCAAGGCACGAAGAAACTTGGTGTCTCACCAAGCGAGCACGCTATCGCATATTCGCATGGAGGACACGGTCCTCAGTTATTGCCACAAGAAGCCCCTCTCACAAAACATCCTATTTGCATCGTTATGAACAATGGCGAAAGGCCTCTCGCAACAGCATCGAGGATCTACTTTGGGATCCACCATCCAATCCAATACAACGTCAAAGTCAAGGACCTTGGTTTTGTACACCAAGACTGGCTGCCCACCTTCATCGGTTATTGGAACATGGAGAACATCTCCGATACTCGGCAATCCAACGAAGTCACCAACGAGGCTGCTCAGCATTACTCCTGGTCTTGATTTACATCAATCTGGGTGGTGGAAGGTCTTTTTTTGTTGGGTTCTATGAGAAGTGTAATGGGCCTTTCTTTACTTAAATGACAAACTCATCAACACCAAATCGTTGCCCCTCGACCAATCGAGATGTCAGATTCTGACATACAGCTTTCTTAAGCAAGCTATCTATTCAAAAGGACACATTGAGCGGCGGAAAGTTTGTTGCATCTCACTAGACTTTACTGTGTAAAACCCTCAAAGCTATCACAATCATACCTACCTTTTGCCGAAGTACTTACCTAGGTAGGTACAATCTCAAAATCCTAGCCCAACCCAAGACCAGACCGCAGTCTGAGCCAAAGGCGCGCTCTACTCTTTCTTATTGTGTAATATTCTTTACTGTGTAAAAAACGGCGGAGTATGTGGTGTGTGTTTCGTGCGACGATTACTGCGCAGGAGGCCCACTTTTCGCGCGCCGACCGATGCAGCCGGGCCTCATGTGACCGCGAACGCCGAGGACCCTAGGGCGCGATTCTCGTGTACACTGCACAACGCGTCACCGACACCCAGAAGACTCGCGACTGTTCAGAGCTGAAGCGCATATGCCTCCACCGTTTCTAGATCTCAACGAATCGGACTTGCCATGACGTTATGATGCGTTCCCTGAACTCCGCCCACAATGCCGCCCCGGGGTCGTCCACCGGTTTGGCGTAGCATCACCATTTACTCGCCAGCACAATCCACGCTACAAACAAGATGGCACTGTCGCTCCCACAGGGTAGTTGGGGTTTCTCGATGTGCGCCCACTGCATACCGTCAGATCGAGTAGGACGGCGCCTCGATATAACCAGCGGCGCAATGTTCGTTAACGCGCAACTGTAGGAGACCAACACAAGGGTAGGCTGGTGGGTTGAACCAGATCTCGTTTGGAGATTTACTGACAGGAGGCAGATCGAGGCCACTTTTGACGCCACTTAGATCTACACACGTCGAATACCCCTCTATGTCCGTCGCTCGCCAGCCCTCCGCTACGCATCCGCACACGTTTCCTCACCGCCGCCGAGCTCGCGTATACACACTATACAGAAATGGGGAGATATCGCTGGCTGCGCATGATACCCTCTTCTTGCGGTCGCTTTGATATCATATTGGCCGTGTACACACGCCAGCGTCTCGCCATGGGAACACTCAACTCGCTAGTCTGAACCTTTCGTTGATGAGTTCTCTTTGGAACTGAATCTCCGAAACCCTGTTCGCAGCCTCAGCGTGGACTGAAGGTGTTCAAACGACGAAGCGGGAAGAGATGCGATCCAGTACCGCTGAGGTCGGATGATACCCTCACAGCTGTTGAAATGGACGTGACCAAGTGTAATATGAATATCACCATTGAGTCCTTCGTCTTGAGTGGTGGAGTGAACATGTAAGGTTTGGCTGTCATGGTTAATGATGCCTATGCATTCTACGCGATCTGTGTCACCTAATCGCTGGCACAGCTCCATCTTCCGACCCTCATCGTAGTAATGTTGTATCCGTTCGAAAATGTCCGTTTATTACACTACCATCGAAACCGACACTGTCGATTTGCACCCTTTTAGATAGCAAAGCGCGTGAAGGGTTGTGTCCGTTGGCTACGATTAGTTGTTCTTCGTCTACTTGTTACAACATTTGTTGACCTTCGCCGAGTACTCCCTCTCACCTGTCTTACGCATGACTACCAGCCGGTTGTCTGAGAGAGCACATCGCTTTCGGAGTCAAAGCTCGCGGACCTCTCTCGGCGTAAGCCCATGGTTGTGCCTGGCGAGTAACAGGTTTGCGGAGAGCGAGGTTGCATGTACCGCAGGCATCACGATAGTCTTAGCAGCATGTCATCCGATCGCATTCGGCAGCAACGCAACCACCAGGCCGTAGACAAGCAGGTACAGATCTAGCAAATCGACAGTCTTGATTTGATCAACATGGAAAGTATCATTCGATTCATATGTAGACGTCATGAACTAGACTTTAAGAGTCGAAGGTCCGATAGGGGACCCAGGTGTTGGGCTTTGTGCTACAAACTCTCATCCCAGGCAGTACGCTCAACGACACGGGGAATCTTCTCTCCACTCAACTGGCAAGACTTGAGATCGCCGAGCACGCCGTTGGCTCCGATGTCCCTCAGCCAGTCTGTCTCGGGGTACGTCAACTTGGAGTGACGCCAAGGGCACTCGGCACCATGGGGACAGGTGTAGAAGGTGCCGAACGTGACGTGGCAGAGACCGAGAGAGAATGAGGAGGTGGAGCTGTATTCGCTCGGGTCATACTCCTTCGCGTCCGCAGTGGCGTCGGAGAACTTGGGCTTCCAATGAGTAAGGTTCTTGACCGTCGCCGGGCAGCCCTCGTCCGAGTCGGGGTTGATGACGGACTGCCAGGTCCTAAACTCCGGGCTGCACTTGTTGACACCCGGGGTGGAGAGAATGCGCTTGAACAAAGCCACCTGAAAGCCGAGGTCGGCGTTCTCTGGCAGCAGACCTGCACATGGTGGGGGACCTCCGACCTGGATCTGTATCGCATCCGCGGCTTTGTGCTCTGCGGGCGCAGGAGCGTCGGTGAGAGGAACTCGGGGTGCGTGGGTGACACCATCGACTGTGGCGTGTCAGTACCCATCGCTCGAGCGTTGCGGGAGGACTTACTCAGCTCGTCGAACTCGCCTTTGACTATGGCATCACTGACAACGCTCTGAGCGCGCTCACTGGCGGCTGTGCTTTGTTAGTGGCGTCTACAATTCTGGTCGATAGGATGTACTAACCCTTGACAGAATTGCTGGGTGCCGTTAAAAGCGCTTTTGGTGCGGCTTTGTGCCCCTCATGCTTTGCCTCTGACTTCGCTGCTCGATGTTAGTTATGAGCATTGTTGAAAGGGGAATAGTAAATACCCTTGAGAGCGGCGAATTGCGCTTGCACGTACGCCTCAATTGAATCCATGGCGCAGAATAGGATGACCGCGATCTTGGGGTGGTGTGAGGATAGAGGGAAGTAGCAAGACCGAAAAGGTTGGTGGTTTGTTTGTGGACGAGTCTGTGCGCTAGCCCACTGCTCCTGCCTATTGTGAAATCACCAGTCACGTAGCTTCGCTGCTCTAGTAGCTTCCATGGAGAAAATCACGGTGAGAAAGGTTTCAGGCGAAGACATCCTTTGAGATTCAGCATGCATTGTCACGTTTATTATAGCAATTTACGCGTACGTGATCTTCCCTAAAGAGGAAACAACACTGCACACTGACGCTTGGCTTAGATACTAAAACCCTCTTCCATCTGACAGTAACGATTGCTTACAGTCTTTGCAACTAAATATGAAAGTGAAAAGTGATATGAAGGATTAAATGAGTGAAATATGGATATTCCTGGGAGACTACATGATCAGAACGGAACTGCAAGCCGCGGCCAAACTTGGGACTTGTCGAATACATACGATCCTATCAAACTTTTAGCAGCCTTTACTGCCCCAGTAGTCGCCAAATATTCGATGTGGGTCATGAGGTAGAGGAGCTATGGGTTGGCTCGAGACTGGACCCAGCATAGCAACCGTCTGCCTGCGTCATGAAAACGGCACTTCGAAGGAGTGACATCATAAGAAGATTCGCCACACACTACAAATAAACTGGCACGGTAGGGGAGACAATCACGTTGATGAACAGCGTAGCTTGTCACTGTCATGTATTGTTAGCACTATCAACTCTCCCGTCATAGATCCAAAAGATCTAACTCATTTTAGATGCGCATCCCATGCCTGTGATGGCAGAGATTCTAATGCGCACTCTCAACAACATACCCCTCGTTCGCATGCCAAATCAAATCCATCGCATACACAAACAGCCTATCCTCAAAGAGCGTACGTGATGCATGCAGCCCATCAATCTCATGTTGAACCGCCAGAGCCCGTCGCGCTTCCGGTAAGTTATAAACCCAGTCGGCGAACAACACATACTCCCTATGGTGGCTCCGCACAGTCCTTTGGCCATTCGTTAGATCTAACACGGGGTCATACCAAGCACAACGCTCGCCCCGTTCGTTGAACTGGAAATGCTGCCTACTGAACACATCCAGTTCATGCACATCTTGTTCGAGGCTACGCAGCTTATCCGAGAACGTCTCATAGTCCGAGACTAAAACGTTCATCGCAGGAACCAACGTGAACTCCAACGTGAACTTGAGGTTATGAGCCTCGGTCGATGATGGGATGAGTCGTGCCTTTGTGCGGAGCGCGGTGAGACTCTTAACCAGAGCTTTGAGAGGAGCAAAGATCTCTTCGTAGCTTAGAACAATGAAGGCGTTGTTGAGGGCTGTGTAACGGTCTACACCCAGATCCTCATTAAGTTCCAAGGCGATGCGGGCAGCGCGCTGGGTTTTGTGGAAGGTGACGCCGGCATCCCTATAGCGATCTTCCAATGAGTTGCAAAGATTGAGAAGACTGTCGGCGCGTTCAACGATCTCTTGAATACCGGCGCGGGCTTTCTTGGCCTCCTCGTCGGCTCGCTCTGGAGGTACGGGTTCGCAGTTTGGGCACATGTTGGCGATACAACTGATACGTTTGATTGGTACTCCCTGGTCAGCTCTGGTTGCAGTGGCTGGAGGAAACGATAGGATGAAAGTACATCTTGTGATATAGAGAGCTACAGCAGCGAGCGCTGTGAAACTTCCCTTCTAGAGTATGCATGTAGTCTGCACAGCGTGTTAAACTTCGTTCACCCACCGTCTCACCAACCCTCGACATCTGTAACCGCCAACATAGTCCAGTACGGGTCCCTCGCAATTCCCTCGTCTTCCACCACGCCATCCACGAAAGCTTCCGTATACGCAGCCTTTGACTTCACAACCCCATGCTCAATTTCCAGAAAGGTCTGTACCCACATCCGAAACATGTTGCCCTCGCGGCTGTGCTTAGCGGCCAGCGCCTCAGTTCCATCAAGATCGGAGCGCTCGGCGAGCTTCGCTACTTGCTCCTCCACCCATACCAGTCCAGCCTCAAGATTCCGGAGTGGTTTCGCCAGTTGAGAAAGCGTGAGTTCACATTCAGCTTCCAGTGCGCGGAGTTGATCGACGTTCTCCGGCGCAGTGCCTCTTGACAGCACCCATTTTTGTAATACTGCATAGGCAGCGTCGAAGATCTCGTCCCATGGGTGAAAGAACGGCTCTTCAGAGCGCGGGCGGCCGATTTCGAACATTTGGCTGAGCCGTGAACACACAGTCTGCTCGGCCGCTTTCGAGCTACAAGTAGCGATTGAGAGTCGGAGCGCATACGGAACCTTGTGGTAGGCGACTCCAGCGACTCGAAACCGCCTTTCGTATTTGTCCAGTCTGGCGAGCCATGAGAGGGCCCTAGGCTTTGCCCAATCAAGCCAATCTTCGTATACCGCCGCAGGAGCTAGGAGCGCTGTGTTTGCGCTGTCTAATTGCCAGTCGTACGGTAGGTTCTTGATCCATGTGTCGATTCGCTTCTTCTGGGATCGGGACAAAAGCTGGCCATATGCTTGTTTTGATGAGATAGCCATGGGTATATGATCGTGTTTCGTGCAGGGCGGTCCCGCTCAGTCCTGTAGTACGGCTCTGGGTATCGTTGGCCTTCTGGATACAGCTTGCGTAGTCGGCTGATCCGTGTTGCTATTGATGAATTGCGCCAACAAGAGGAACTGGTTGAAGAGCGCGGTCGGGCGGTGGGGTGAGGGGCTGCAGCCAGTGCTCGTCAGTCGCCTGTTGTTGTGATGGGAACGCACATGGCCGTTTGCACGTTGTGGTGTGTGCGCTAGTCACACTCATAGTGAATGCAGCTTTGGTCGTCGCAGCGTTTGTGGAAGCGCGGTTTACCGCGTAAGCCTAAGAGGTCTGCCGACGACAAGCTTGCGCTGCTGTGTCGACTCCAATACCAAGCTCGGCCATGAAGTACACGCTACAATTTTGCTCCATATATCGTGTATATGGAGTAGCAATGTCTACTTCAGGGTGTGGTGTGACTTAGGGCGAAAATTAAGCAAAACACGCTCCTTCGTAGGGTCAGCGCTCTTGGACATGGCAAATACTTTGGATACTAAGCGCTCGGCAATGAAAGTCCCGTTCTCTTCAAAGCAGCTCCATGATATGAGAACGTCAAAACCCGAGCTATGCGCCAACGTTGCGCAACTTCGATAGGATGGAGAACGAGCGCTCCATGATTCCGATGACGTCACGCGTTCGCGTGAGCCGCGACTTCACCTAGGCACGTTGCAATTCACCTAGCTGAGATGAGCTTTGTTTTGGTCGCTAGTCGGTTTTGTATTCGGCGAAGACGAGGTGACATTTCAAGGTTGTCGCGTCGCGTGTGGGTGAAAGAGGCTGGTACGGTGTTCCCCTGAGGTGGCTGAACTAATGACGTCATCGATGCGACTCATGTACGCATGTGACAGGCAGGGCAGACCCAGGGCCCTCACACTCGACATGCGCACTACCAGCCCACCGCACTCGCGATGTTATTTTGGTTTGGACTAGAGCAACAATGCAAACTTCATTAATCATCAAATATACACCAAAAGCTAACTACCCTAGGTATGTACCCGATCTCTCATAGACCCACCCATTCAAAATGTATGCAAAACATATACAATAAGCTCAAGAAATATGTACTCATCACATCGTAAACATACCATCAACCTCCTAATTTGCATCAGCAGTAGCTGCTTACTGCCCACCAACAGCGATAGTAAACAGCCTCGGGCTGCCAGCGAAGATCGTACCTGCCACGTCCTGACCACCATCCGGAACAACATCGTCATATGGGAAAGCATACCCACGTCCATCTTTCTGCATCTGATGAACGATACGCGAGTAATGGTTAGTCGTCGGGTCCTTGTAGTACTGGCTTGGGTTGCTGCCGTTGGGGAACTGGTTGCCAGGCGTGTTCAGCAAGATGCTACGGTTAAAGGCCGCAGCGAGACGGGGGATGACTGCATTACGCGCTTGGTTCGATCCCGTCGCGAACGGCCCGGTGCTACAGGTGAAGATATCCCTAGCTGATGGAGCAGCAAACTTTCCTGCCTCGCCTAGTTCGAGCTCGTTGCCTTGGACACGTCCCTTAAGGTTGCCGGCTGCGGCCTGGGTGTTGATGGTCATGTCTTCGTTGCGGTACTTGTTCCACACTGCCTGGACGTATCCGTTCCAGTAATCTCCCCAGGCATTTTCATTGCCAACAAGCAAATTATTCGGGCTCAGCACTCGCAACGGCTGTCCGTTGGCCTCGTAGATCAGTTTGTCCCATGGTCGGCCGTCACGCTGGGCTTGCGCGCGCAGCTCCTCCATGATTCTCCGGAAGCCATCGGCGCCCATGCCAGGTACTGTTTGGGTCTTGCCATCGCTGCTGGTCAAGCTGAGCGCGACGGGAATGCTGACGAAATCGACATAGCTGATATTGGCGAACAATTGCGCGTCGTTGTAGGTGAACTCGCAGAAGGTCCAGTTGATGTTGAAGTTGGGGTCGCTGGGGTTGGTTACACTGGGCTCAACGACGGCAGGGCCGGGATTGAGAAGGAATGTGAGCTTTGCGCCGATGCTGAACCAGATACGACCACCAGCTATCTTGGGAATTCTGACATTGACCGTGTTACCAGGACGGCCAAGTGGAATGGCGACATCGGCTTGAAGTGGCTGTTGGATATCCTTAGGGGCTACTGGGTAGTAGATGGACTGGCCGTCTGCTTGCACAAAGAGAGGGGTGTTGTTTCGCTCGAGGGCAAGGCCGGTGATGTAGCAGTATACATTGTCGGAGTTGGACTTGTTCTGCAGTGCCAGCTGAAGAGTACCAGGCGCGGCCTCAGCAAGCACTTGTTGCTGTTCGTTGTTGGCTTGTGGAGCTGCTGCGCGCTTCTCATTGCTGGCGTCGGCGGGAGTGGGAGCGGGTGGTGCCGGTGCCGGATTACCCTCCTGCTTGCCCCGATTTTGCCAGCTCTGGCGGCGCTTGTTGACGAAGCTCTTGAACGACTTCATGATAACGTGGAGGATAGATTCCGGGTATAATGATAAAGAAACGCGATGGTAGAGGTAGGTATAATGCGAGCTGCAAGAAAAAGGTAAGGAAAGCAGCGAATATCAACAATGTTGTAATTGCGCAAACCGCGAGTACGTCACACAAGATATATCCTCGTCCAGTTATAGTCAATGCACTGAACGCGCCAATGTCCTAGATTTCAAGGCGTGAATGCAGGGTCCAGCTGATGTCACACATGCGACGAGATTCCAGGGCGATCAAGGCACGTGCAAACCTGTTGCGATCGCCGACTCGCGCGCCGGCCTAACGTCAACAATTTCGCGTTAGCAACCAATCACAATTTCACAAGCGACACCACCTTGTCGCGGCCCGATGGAGGAGAATCCCATCTTCAAACCACGCGTGGCGCGCTCGTGGCATCTGAATCTGACACTTAAAACGCGGGGTGCAGTGTGCGTGGTATCTTGGGACTGGTATTGGACGGCGCCCGGTGGGCGGGTTAGTGTCGTAAAGGAAGGTATTAATGAGCGGTAAGCGGAAGTACGCGATGCTTTGCGACAGTATACATTGGAAGAGGCCCGTTTTGCCTGCTTTGTGTCTGGTCCAACGCCTATCAAACACCAGAATTGTCTGGGATAATCACCGTATGCCACGCCAATATGCTGGAAACGCGTACAAACTGTATGCCCCCAAAGTAAACGGCTATCGTAAAGTCCGATGTAAGATGCTTTGTACAAGAGTGAGATCGGCAGTCTGATTCACATGCTAGGGCGAAAGGCCTCGAGGCATGCCCACGAGCTCGCAGACGAGTGATCTGTAATGCGAACAGCGCAACGGCTCGATGCAACGTCTTGCAGTGCGCCAAGTTGTCGTGAACAAAGTCGCGCATGACTGCCCGTGGCAATTATTCGACGTCCTGATACGGGGATCAGAACGGTGCTCCATTTCCAAAAGACATGCCAGTATAGTTGTTGTAGCTGTCCTCCCCCCAAATACCTCCCGCCATATCGAAGAATTGGCTCATGTCGAAGTCGGCACCCCTCATAAGCGCGAAGGGGTCGTTGCTAACCTCGGTCACGGGGACTTGGTTCATGTCTATGCCGAAGTCTTCCATATAGTTGGTGCCTGCTAGCGTGTTGTACTGATCTTCCGCGTGTCGTGTCGGACACGTTGTTGGTGCGCTGGTGATGGGACATGAGCTTCCGCTCATACTCCGCTCAACTGAGTCGCTGGGCGTAGATCCTGATGGCGTCTGGCTAGGCCGCTCCGGTCGGATTTTGCGAATGTACCAGTTTTTTGTCAATTCATTAATCATCCGCATAGCGTGCCAGAAGTCGGGGTGGGGTCGCTTTGTTTTGTCGAACGTCGATAGAGTCTGCATCCGATAGCAAAGTGATTCAAGACAGAGATCTAGGCGCACTCTTTCTTGGGCAGCTTGAGTATCCCACCCGATGGCGGCATGGTCTTCACTGGGTATGCATAACTTGGCGACCGTCATGACAACTGGTGGTAATCGCATCCATTCCGAGAACGATATGAGGTGATATTCGTGGGCTGGAAATGAAAGCAAAGTATCGAGAAAGCGCTTGCTGGCTTCAAGAGCGGAGAGTAGGCTGTTGATCTGTGACGAACGTACCGATGCCGGTAACTCCGAAGGAGACGGCCGAAGGGCTACGCTGTGCAGTTGCATCTTGGCGTATGAGAAGGAGAGCTCGAGTAGCCGTTGAGAGGGGACACCGTTGCACTCCCGTTTCCATGTATCGAGCTGTACATCTATGAATCGAACATGCATCAACGCTCGCCCATCAGACATTGGCAATTGCGAAGTATCAGCCGTGAACAACTCATCTTGTACTTGGTCATCAATCTGTCGCAGAGATATCAAAAGGCTAACGGTCTCATCGGTTTCGTACTCGCGATCTTGCTTCAAGCTTTGCGCCCACTCGGTCATGGTTGAAGTATGCTTGAGCAGATTCGGCTTCTGTAAACCTGCTGCAACCCTGGCTTGAGTCAGCGCACAATTCCAAAATCTGCGGACGAGAGAACATACATGGACGAAAGATAATAACAACCCAGGAATGCACGGCGTCTTTCGCGCAATTCTTCAGCTGGTGGTGGTGGAGCTGGAGGTCGCTTTGGCAACATTGGAGAGATCAAAGGCTGAAAGTCTTGGTGTAGGCCGATGTCTAGAGCCAAGCCTGTGACGAGATTATGCAAAAAGAAGATTTGCTGTGTTTTGTGGCTGAAAACAAAATGGTACCTGCGCAGATTAGTAGATTTTCGGCAATGGTGGGTACCATCCTACCATGAGAGATAGACCAGTACGCTTTGAACTAGGCCCAATGTCCTCCGGGGTTGCAAGATTGTTCTATTAGCGAGCTCTTGGCGAAATATCCCATCAAGTGCCATCTGGCGGGTGTGATGTTGCCATGATGCCACCAAGAATATCGCGAGTGAAAGCATGGGCCTGTGCTCATGGAGCTGTCTTGCAGTGACTTGGGACGGTAGCATAACAAAAGGGAACGTGGCCGACATGTTTCGATACTCTTTCAGTAGTGTGTCTGCTTCGCCGGATGTGAGCAATTGCTGGACAACCTCGTGCTCGATAGGAGCTTCGGGTCGTTTCGAAGCCCTAAAGATGCCCTCACGAGAGTTAGGAACATCTTCACGGTCGTCAAATCTGTGTATGGTGCGGATCTCCTCAAGATACTGTCGATCGACTTCAGCACTCTCTGATGCATCGTCGGTACTTTGGTCAGGCGGCACGGCGTTCGGTTCGTAGGATGGTGTCGGCATCCAGCTACCCGGCGCCGTGTTGACTATTCCCCGATTCCGCCAACGCTCCGCTGCGATTTCTCTAGGGATTGGCTGCGATGCATTTGCTGAGTCTGTTGTGACTTCACTGTCAGCCGCATGGACGAGCTTGGCTACGAGGCCATCGATCTTTTGCTCGACCTGCGCGATTCGGCTACGAGTATCATAAGTTGAGATCGAAGTAGACGGGCAGCGACTTACGAAGGTGCACGCAGCTTCCTCGCTCTACGCTGCGCTTCTGCCCAGACACATTCCTTGCCGGCTGAGAAACATCTGGCGGATGGTCAGCGTCTTTGTAAAGACATGAGGATGTGGAGCCACGGCTAAAGTATCACACTCTCATTGGCTGGCGTACCTCTGACATAGTCCAGATTGGGCGCTCGGCAAACATCGCGTCTTCAGGTTCCGGCAGCGTTGGCACGCCTGTGTTGTTCGCGGTACACCCGCTCTCGCGGACGGTTGCTCAGTTTCCTCCATCCGATGCGATGGCGCAGGATCGCTGCAGGTGCGAGAAGAGGGCAAGAGCCAGACCCAGCACGGGACGGAGGGACGATCAACATCCGTCCCGGGTCGCCTGAATTACTCATCGACGCTAAACTCCTGGGGTCAACTAGGTACCGCATGAAATGAACACTGCAAACATTCTCTGATCTAAAGCACGTTTCTATCGATTGAATGCTCAACAAAACATTGAGCCTTTACGCTTCAGTTTTATACAATTCCCTTCTGCTCTAACACTTCTTAGGCTTCGTCATTTGGAGCCTTGAGAACCATCAAACCACGAGGGACTTCGGCCATTGCGTACAACTTGCAATTGCCCTCAGTTAATCTAGAACTGCAGCTTTGACGCCAGCCTCCAACCGTACCAAAGCGTTGCACCAATCGTAATGAGGTTCAGATGTATGCTCATAGCATGAGCTCTAGAAAATGCCCGATTGAGAACCTTCATGTCATCGCTGATATCTCCATTGAGCTGCGCTTTGCCATCGCGAGTCGCTTGTCTTTCCATCAGCTATCAACGAATTCGCCAAGATCTGTGGATACTCACCTTGATGAACCCTTTCCACCATCAAGTCCTTTGTTCTCGGACCAAATACAACCAAATTGAACCCAGCAGTAACACCAGCGACTGCGAAAGCGATCCAGTCGCTCTTCTCTGCAAGCAGCGAAAGTGGCCCACAAGGCGGAAATGTCGCAGCGACGATGAGTAAAAGAATCGACTGGCTTTGGAAGTATATTGGAAAGACCCGCTTCTGCAGAGTCGTAAACGCCGATCTGGGAAGAGCTTGGTAAGAGACTTTCGTCATTACGAAAGTCTGGTATAGCTCGGTTCCGAGTAAGGTGGAGTAGGCTAGGAGGTGGACAGGCGGAAGAACAGCTGCGACATAGTCAGAAAACGTAGACATGGCAACGCCAATTCGATTCAAAGAACAAATTGCGGTATGGATCAAGAGCCGCTCTGCGATATCGATACCCATGCGGCATCAGCAAATCTTTGACTTTCGCTGCCGCCTAGCATGGCGGATCTGATCGGAAGTCGCATAGACGCTCGCATCCGTCCCGGCGAGGCTCTAATGCATATGTTTTCCGCGTCCCAAAGACCTGCCGCATCACCAGCTACAGCATACGAATCGAGTAGATAGAGTCGCGAACTGCTTTGTGGGCGTGTTCTGCTCATGACGGCATGATGCAGTTCGGGCTGCATTATCGCGAGGTACCTGACGATTAGCGCCGCACCCCGCAACTCCTTTACCACCCATCCCAACTCCCCGAAGATCTGCCACCACCACTCGCTTTCTGGCCATGCTTCCGCGCATCACGAGCGCATGTAGAGCTGCTTCAGGCAAAGTGAAGATGCAATATGGCACCCCAAATCTGGAAGATCTATGCCCTCCATTCCGCCGGCTCAATGGCTGAGCGCGGTATAGCTGTCGCTGTCACTGCTAACGACGTACATATGTACTGGATGAAGCTCACACTCTAGGATTCATAGTAGAATCTCATTCGACAATCGAACACCTCCAATATGCGCGCAACACTCCTCTCCCTCCTCCCTCTCGCTCTCGCAGCACCAGCCGTACTCCACCGACAAGCCACGAAACCCATATACTGGCTCCTGGCCGGCGACTCAACCACAGCCACCAACGGCGGCTGGGGCGACGCCTTCCTCTCCACCACCGTCGCGAGTGGCTCCTCAGGTCACAACTACGGGCACAGCGGCGCGACAACGCGATCCTTCCGTGCCGGCGGCGACTGGGCAAACGTGACCAGGGACATCGGGACGTACAAGGAAGACTACAGGGTCTACGTGACGATTCAGGTACTATACCACATGATCAGGGAGTGGGATGACATGACTAACACCCCACCAGTTCGGCCACAACGACCAAAAGCCCACCTCCCGTGTCTCCCTAGCAGATTACCGCAACAACCTCGCGACCTTCGCATCCGAAGTCGAACAAGCAGGCGCAACGCCCATTCTCCTCTCCCCCCTCACGCGTCGCACATTCAACACAACCACGAATCGCGTTATTGAGAACCTGTCGAACGAGACGGCCATCACACTCGATGTAGCCGAGGCCAACGACTTGCACGTCATAGATTTGAACAAAGCGTCAACAGCGTATGTGAATGCGATTGGACAAAAGGGCGCGGACACGTATAACTGGGGTGAGAATGGTACAACGGGGAATGATCGCACACATTTGAATCCGTGGGGTGAGGTGGTGTTTGCGCGCATGGTAAGTGATTTGTTGGTGGAGAAGTATGAAGAGGAGTTTGGGGACTGGACGGTGGGCAATGAGACGTTGAGTGCGTTGATCAAGGATGGAAAGGTGGCTTAGGTGAGTGTTGGTCAGATACTGGCTACCAAGGAAGAATTCGATCACGTTCAGGCTTCGTCAAGAGAATGACATCAAACGCATGATTTCAAAACTATGCATCGCTACAAAGCCTCACGGTGCTCGTGCCATGGTCACCACTTATCCATATCCCTGCCCTTCATACCCACCACTAGCCCACCTCCTCCCCTGCGCCTCGCCCTGGCCCTGCACGTTATTGACCGTGGTTGTACTCGAGTTCGGCGTATCCCAAGGTGCATACTGGCTACCTGTATTCGTATACTGACTGCTCGGCCTCGAAGCCGGAGATGAAGCTGCACTTGTACGCGAATAAGGCATGTATGATTGCTGCGTTGGAGGCAGCGGTGGCGATGTATACGGCAAGTACTGTTGGTGAGCGGGCTGCGGTGCCTGCGATGGACCTGGATACAACCACGGTTGTGCCTGGTTGAACTGCTGTGATTGCCGGTGTGGCAGTGGTGGAGGGTATGACTGGTTCACAGCACCAGGGTTATTGCCTTGCGGTGCAATTTGAGGAGATCCATACTGTGGTGGAGACGTGATCTGCTGGCCCTGCGCAGCGTAGTCGTGTTCTGATATTGATCGGTCTAGCGGTGGTGTGGGCTTCGAGTAGCTTGACTGCCGCTGCTGGTGGTATCGATTGACTGCTTCCAGGTTTGCGACTGACTTGCGATTGACAGCCTTGCTGTTTCTCTTAAGTCCATGGTCCGCACTACCCTTTCGCAACGTCGTGCTGTCAGGCTGCGGCACGCTAGCCGTGGATCCAATCGAGCTGTGTCTCTGTGATGGGAGGGCAGAGGCCGAGTCTTGTCGTTGTCGGTCGTCAACGGACGATCGCATACCTTCGGACGATAATGGTGGTGATTGAAGTGTGCCCCGAGCAGGTATAGGGGGTGAATGGCCAGCGTACGATGATACTGGAACCTCTGGAGCCGGCTGAGCATGTGGAACCGCTACAGCCTCTGCCCTTCCCGGTCTGAGGTGAAAAGGCAGACTCCAGGGTTCCTGGGAGTGCTGGCCATGTGGTGGTGCAACTTCCTTCTCATCGCTGTGCAAATTGGATTCGCGCACTGCTTGCAAGGGCAATGGTGGTACCGGGCGACGGCGGTTTATCCCAACGCTGAGGCTTGTTGGAATCTCCTGGTGCTTCACGGTCCGGAACCGCTTTACAGTTGGGTTGCGTTTGCAGCGGTCCTGTGCCTCTCTCAACAGTTTTCGTATCTTGTCCTCATCGGACAACTCTTCTTCAAGTTCCACATCAGTGACACTGCCTGCATCAGTCTGTCCAGCCACGGAAACATTGTCACCTTCCCATTCGTCATCATCAGTCTCTTCCTCCTCTTCGTCATCGGAATCTTCTTCCTCATCCTCGTCCTCATCATCATCATCCAGATCGGAATTTTCATCCTCTTCTTCTGGTGTATCAAGTGCTTCGGTTGCAAACCCTCGATTCGGATGTCGTGCGTAGACGTTGGCGCCCGCTTTTAGTAAAGTGTCAACACAAGCTGACTGACGATAAGCGCAAGCTTCGATGAACGCTTCGTCTAGGAGATGGTCCGGAGGTTTCATCAAGAGAAATTTCTCCAGGATGATCTTGTTGCCCCGAATGGCGGCCGCGGCAATAGCACTTCTATACATTCCGCCTTGAATCCGAAAGTCTGCTCCAGCATCAAGTAGCTTGACAACCACCTCCATACGGTTGAAGTATGAGGCGGCTACGAGAGCGGTATGATATTTGCCATCGTGATGATTAACGAGTTCGATGGCCCGGTCGAGAAGTTCCTCAATGATGGCCATATCGGCTTTCATCGCTGCTGTTTGTAGGGCGTCGCCATACTTCCCCCCCTTTGCATGTACATCGGCCCCATGTTCTATCAGCAACCGCATAATTTCCAAGTCGTTCCCGTAAGCTGCAGCAGCTACAGTGGAGCCAAGTATACCTCCTAGCGCTGAAGCATTGGCACCGTTGTCGAGTAAGCGCTGCACGACAGGTAAGACGCCAGACTGAGCGGCAGCCAGGATGGGGAAGCCATGTAGGCCACCACTAGCGTTCACATCGGCGTGATGTTTGATGAGAAGCTTTACAAGCTTGTCGAACCCGCCGGCAGCGGCTGCAGAGAGTGCACCGCCAAACTTTCCATTCGCTGGCCGGATGTTGACAGCCGCACCATGCTGTAACAGCTCTTTGACGATATCGAATGAGCCAGCAGCACAAGCGGCCTGTAGAGCCGAACCATACTCGCCGGATATGGGCTCCGTGATGCTAATGTCGGCACCGGCTTTCAGTAAGACTTGGACACTTTCCATATCCTCGGCCCATGCAGCAGCTTGCAGCGGCGTTCCATATGGCCCACCAACAGCGTTGACATCCGCGCCAGCTTGGAGCAATACCTCGCAACATTCCTCATCGCCTTCGGCCCTGTGTAGTAATTAGTCTCTTTGAAGATGATTAGGGCTGCTTGAACTTACGCTGCGGCGTGGAGTGCTGTACCGTACTTGTCGCTTGAAATGTGCACGTCGGCGTTATGAG